ATGATCCCATATTTATTTTTCAGAACTGGGAATTCCAAGTTTATACTCCTGAGGAACGCAATGTATACGTGAAAGACAACACTCTCTTCATACGTCCTGTAAGTTAAAAGAGGAGTACACGCAATTTGTCACTAGATTTGTTGGAAATGATAGCCCCAGTCGGTATTTCGTAGTAACTTTTAGAAGTGGGTTATGTTGCCATTTAAGACCATGCATCTTCTATTTTTTTCAAAAGGTGCCTTCTTTGGAACACAACACGGTGAAATTTCAATTTGTAAATCTTGTTTTCAAAATTCTCCTAATCATAAAAAAAAAGTTGTATGGCAATATGAATATTTTGTTTGCATATGTCCTTCGAGAGCTTAAGCTAATTTTTTGGTTGTAGACACTCACCGCAGATAGATTTGACGAGAATTTTGTAAGATATGGGACAATGGATGTGAACAGTAAGTGAGCAACTTGTACGACATAAATACAAGCGAAGGCAGGGTAGATGGAAATGTAAATCTTATATGATATGTGACCCGCAAGGTTCACTTTATGTGTAACGGATGCATGTTTGGTAAAACACAGTGCTGCGTCAAAATCAAGGTATCCTTAATGGTCGTTGTCAAGTCGTAAATTCTAAATACAATTGAATGTAAACTTTTGCAGAATTGTGGGGACAATGTACCGATGACCAGTGGTGGGGATGTTTACGATCGGCCAATGGAGGAGTAGTAAATCCGATAATGTCCGGAAAGATACGAACAAAAATGTCCTTTAAATACGGACGTGTCGAGGTAATCTAAATAGTTGTAGATTTAGAATTCTATACTTCTGTCTGGCCTACGTCTGTTTTCTTCAAAGATGAGGACGGAAGACAAATATTCACGGTTTGTTTTTATCACCAAGTGTGGATGACAAATGTGGAATCGTTTACATTCAGGTTGTTGCGAAGATGCCAAGGGGAGACTGGATATGGCCAGCTATATGGCTCATGCCCCAGCATAGCGAATATGGAGGTTGGCCAAGGTCAGGCGAGATTGATGTGTGCGAGAGTAGAGGTAAAGATGTATTGTCTTCTTGCAATTAATGCAAGACTAGACGTGCAGGTCTTTTTTATTTCTGTTACTGTGTGAGAGTCGGTGTAACTGTCTGTTGTCAATTTTTTGTTGATGTGTTAGAGTGTTTTTTGTTCATTTGCCAAGTGCTTTGATTTATGCGAGATGAGACGGCAGATCTTTTTCCTGTTGATGTGGGACAGTAATTGTATTTAGATCTTATGTAAACTGTATTAATGGGGGTTGAGAAGTGAATATCCTCTAAGTCTGGTGGGTTGTCTATGTATAGAGCATTTACATTTTCCTACATGCTACCTTGTAATTCCTTGTAGGTAACGAAGATTATGGAAATATCGGTGTTCAGGAGGCTGGCGTGGCACTTCACTGGGGAACACCAGGGAATGACAGATACCTTATGACAAACGGCCAGAAGTAATTATAAATACGCTTTGATATAGAACCGTTTCTGATCCAATATGTATTTGCATACATCAAACTAAACCCACGACAATGTTCCAATATCAAATCCATGTAGCAGAGTCTTTATTGAACAATTGTGTCTGCACTTTGATAACAGCAAGCTATGTTAAATGTTCGTTTGGTCCAAGGGCATCAGTTCAGTATCTAATTAAATGATACTCAGATTTGATCGTTTGAATTGATTTTCAGGCGTTTGTCGGGGAAAAACTTTGGTGAAAAGTTTGTGAAATACACATTAGACTGGGACGAATCCGGCATCAAGGTTTACTACGATGATGAACTCATTATGAATGCACCAACACCAAGTGAGGGTTATTACAGATATGGAAATCTCCCTGAGAATCCTTGGCAAAATGGAGGAAAAGCTGCGCCATTTGACAAAGAGGTACCCCATCCATAGATGGACTACATGTTTCCAAAAGTTTAAATTTGCACTTTGAAAGAGAGCTTCATATACCCATTTGTACTGACCCTCGAGCATATAGGGCCATACAATATTCGGTGTACGTCAATTTTCCACTTCCAATGATTTCTTCAAATAAGTATACCTTTAATCAATTTCAGTTTTACTTGATCCTGAATGTGGCTGTCGGAGGCACCAACGGTTACTTCCCCGACAGTGTTCTGAACAGACCCAACCCCAAACCATGGAGTAACACATCTCCACGCGCATCGGCTGAGTTCTGGGATCGCAAGAACGACTGGTATTCAACATGGAATGGCGAGAACACGGCAATGCAAATAAAATCTGTGAAAATATGGAAAGAGGTATCTGGAGGTTGGTAGATTTTGATATTTACATTTTGGATGTTTTGATTTTATGAAAGGTATTTTGGAGAAGAATTAATCTCACGCGTTTTATCATTGGAAAGTGACGACAAATCAAATCTATTAGTAACATTGAATAGATGGGAAAAGGGTCATGCCAATAATGCCGTTTCAGCTAGCTACGGCTTATAGAAAGTCCATTTTGAATAAAAACTTAATTGGACAGCAGCCCCTACGGTAGTCACATGCATTTATATATATAATTTAGGGGAAGGAGTAGTTCCAACCTCTACACCCTCCAATGGTATGCAATTGATACTAGATGACAACTTCTCTACTCTTGATCTGAACAAGTGGCGTCATGAAGTAACGGCAAGTGGAGGAGGGGTATGGTAAAGTTTTGATATATTTCTAGATGACATTTTGTCTAACACTATGTCTTATTTGACCTCAGTACACTCATTTTCGTCTACTTTTAGATATACTGCTACTTTTGGAGTTCACTTACACGCTTAGTCTTATCATTATACAATCAGATTACACCTATGAAAGTGCAATTAAATGCACCCTGTTGAGCCTATGTATTGTCGTACAAACTATAAGCTTACATCATACACGTTTAATAAGATAATTAACACTGTACGTTCAGTAATTAATATACCTTAAGATACACAATGTGTCAACGTGAAGCTGTAGCTATATTTTCACGTTCGCGTTGATGACAACGTATACGTGAACTGAAATGCGAAGCTGTAGCTATATTTTCACGTTCGCGTTGATGACAACGTATATATACGTGAACTGAAATGCGTTTCACGAAAAGGGGTTCCTTTTGAAATCATAAGGTCTCTATTGGCAGGTGAATTCGTACCTGTATCTATTTGCCAAATAGTTATTCGTATTTATCTTTTTATTATTTGCCCCAGAACTGGGAATTCCAAGTCTACACCCCAGAGGAACGAAACGTGTACGTCAGAGACAACACGCTGTTCATTAAGCCCGTGAGTACTAATAGAGTTCAATCAAAATTATAGAATCCTCCTTAATGCCTTTTCTTTCTTTAGTTTTGTATACATATTCATTCAATCTTAAGATTGGCATCTGCACACACTCTACCAATTTTTTTTGCAGACATTGACAGCAGATAGATTCGATGAAAATTTTGTGAAGTATGGCAAGATGGATGTTGAGAGTGAGTATATGATGAAAATAAAGTATTAGATTCAGCTTAATGATGAAGATTTAAACAACATTAGTAACTCAACTACAAAAAAACATCAAAGATACAATTCGAATACTTCATAAGATTATCTAATTATTATAATATCGATCAGTTGAGCATGTCACGACGATATATTCCAGAACTGTGGGGTAAATGCACGGACAGTCAATGGTTCGGTTGTAACAGACAAGGAGACGGATCTAATATCCTTAACCCAATCATGTCTGGCAAGATTAGGACCAAAGTATCTCTGAAATACGGCAGAGTTGAGGTACGTTGATATGATGCATGTAGCTGCCACATACGGAAGAATACTGATTATTTACCTTTCGTGCACGTTTAACGATGTAGTTATGGATAATATCCAGCATACATGCATGTGTACATCTCCTGTAAAGTGTAGTATTTTTGCATCTAGACAAAACTGATCTTCCATAATTTGACTAAAATGCATGACATTGCATACTTTTTATTTATCTTTTATTAATTATGAGAAAACATAATAAAAAGGTAAAAGAAAAATATGTACATATTCTCTGAAGATAACACTTGATTTCGATGTGACCTGGCGACCATCATCCATTTTTCAATTTAGATATGAGGTCTTATTTCGTTTAGGGCAAATGTTAAAAACTAGTAGAAACCCGGGTAAGGCGTCTTACAAAAACCGATCGGTATTGTAATACACTGCACACTTAAAGCGCCTAACGACTTAATATGCCCTTTACTAGTGACAAGGGTTCTTGGAGTTTTAGAAAAGCGCTATGTAAAACCGCAATCGTGATTACACTTAATTCTTAAACCTGGTTAAAACCGAAGAAGCTTTTGTAAAACGCCATGTGTAATTCCAGCAATTGTTGTAAAATGTATTTGCCGTTAACTTCTCATTAGGTGGTAGCAAAAATGCCCAAAGGTGATTGGATCTGGCCGGCAATCTGGATGCTGCCGGAGTGGAGCCACTATGGCGGATGGCCGCGTTCTGGAGAAATAGACATTTGCGAAAGCAGGGGTAAATTTCAGTTAGACATATTTCTCGGTTTCTCATGAGATTCACTTGTTCATGTAAGTTTTTTATTGCATTGGTGCCCCTGCATATATTTAAAATTAGTTCGCTGAAATGAAAATCCCATTGGTATTCAAGACAACAAAGGCTTAGGGCATGATCCACTCTGTTGTCTATGTTTCATGATGTATGGGAAACCCAGTATTCTAGTTTCCGGATTTATGTGTAGGCTTAATCTGTTAATACGAGGGGTTATCAATAAGTAATGGACGCATTTTTACACAGATGCTTTTTATAGACCAATCCCTTCGATTTTCTTACCAGTGATACATCATTCAATTATCCATCAACTCTGAAGATTTGGAAACAAAACATGTAATATCTTTTGATATAGCTTTATTTCCGTGAAGGATGTATAGGTACCCCGGGACCGACATTTACGTCAAACATTCTGAAGCTATTTTAGCTTGTTTAACATGCAATGCAGTTGAATGCAGGCTGAACAAAACAAACCATTATGGTCATGAATTACCCAATTTCGTTATGCCATAGTTGATTTTGAATATTTCATCATCACTATGTGGTATTCATGCCACATTCATTCCACAGGGCCCTCTACATAGGTTCCATCAAGTGCTACATGTACACAATTCCTCATCCTCTTAATTCAAGATTGTGAGACAAGGCTGAATCCATTCTCTGACATGGTAGCAAGAAGCAGTTGCACGGGTTGTTTTATTTCATCAATATCAATAAACATGCATCCTTTTTCTATAGAAATAAGTAGTATAGAAATAAATAAGTCACACGTGAGCAGATCTGGACAAAATGGTGCATTGGCTAAGGGCTCAATTTTGAGGTCCAGGGATATTGTTTTCTGAACATTTTGAGATCTGTGGGCAGGTGCATTGTCCATATGGAGCAGGGTGTTCCCTTCTCTCACCACCCCTTTCTTCAACAATGCTTTCTCAAATTGACCTGCAAACCCCTTCCATACAACACTCTGACATAACAATACTTTCTGTTTATGTGTTGACCAGTCAGCAAAGTATTTCAAACAACACAACACATGTTGCATATGAAAAGTTTAAATCTAACTGAAATTTTCCAAACTGGCTGAAAACTGAATATGTGACGTAAATGTCGGTCTCGGGGTACCTGTACCTCCTTCACGGAAATAAAGATATATCAACATGTATTTTATATTTTGTCTTCAAATCCTCAGAAATGATAGATAATTGAATGATGTATCACTGGTAGGAAAACCAAAGGGATTGGTCTATAAAAAGTATCAGTGTAAAAAAGCGTCCATTACTTATTGATCACCCCTCGTAAGTGTTCAAAACATACATCGAAAATTCGTAAATCTCAACATTTTGTTTTGGATTGATGTGTAATATTAGCTTAATCGATTTGTAAGGCTGTGTTTTAGTCACCACCACCAGTGTGACATGTTGCAGTCTCCAACTTTTTTGTGAACCGTGTTCGGCGTCTGTAACAAATGGTAGGTGGCGACATTTTGTATGTTAATGCCTTGTTTTGTACTGCGTTTCACTCTCTGAATTCAGGTAATAATGACTATGGGAGCATAGGTGTCCAAGAGGCAGGGGCAACACTTCACTGGGGAACACCTGATAACGACCGATACACCATGACGCAGGGACTCAAGTAAATATAGAGAACCAGTCAGAGTTCCCTGTTCACATTGACGGATAATTGAATTTGGCACATTTCAGTTTTTCTTTATCTGACTTGCTTCACTGCATCTGTAAAGAGCACACCTCGCAAAGTTTGCTCGGCCTTTGACAAAAATATGGATAATTAGTTTAGCAATGCTTCTTTATGTTTCTCTTTTGGGTTTCTTATTAAATCGGTTCTTTCCGCAATTCAAAGTTGCTAAAGCTTTGAAATACATAGTCGCCATTTTCACATGTATGCAAACTATTGCAGAAAACTGTCAGGACAGAACTTCGGTGATAAATTCATTAAATACACTACTGATTGGGATGCAACTGGTATCAGAGTCTACTTTGATGATGAACTTGTTCTCAATGCGCCAACACCCAATAATGGCTACTACAGATACGGAAACCTACCTTATAATCCCTGGACGCAAGGGGGAAAAGATGCTCCATTTGATAAGGAGGTATTTTTTACAGATTTTAACAATGTGCGCAAAAAGATCTATGAATTTAGCAACCTGAGATTTATATTCATACCAAGATGTAATAAGACAACAAAGAAGATACTTTCTTTTTTCTTTGATTTTGACCTCAGATTTTTACCATCCTTGGTAATTGCTATGTTAACAGTAACACATTTTGTCTTGTCTACTATATATATGTATGTGATTTGTCTAGACCCGATCATTGTTTACTCTCCGGAATGTATGTTTACATCCGTTGCTTTCGTTAATTGCCTGCTTTATATGAACATAGTTTTACTTTTTCAGTTTTACTTGATCTTGAATGTGGCCGTTGGTGGAACTAACGGGTATTTCCCTGACAGTGTACCGAATATTCCCAGGCCAAAGCCATGGAAGAATAACTCACGATTTGGCCCAAGGGACTTCTGGAACAAGAAGAACGATTGGTACCAAACTTGGAGAGGCGAAGAGGCAGCCATGCAAATTAAATCTGTTAAAATATGGAAAAAAGTTTAATTTTGCATTTGATATTTACCATATGAGAATTGGTTTGAAAATAGAGAATGCATATTATAATTTACATTCTTGTCTTGTTACAATCTCACACTGATAGTAGTCATGCCTCAAATTAAGTACCCAGCAATTGACATATAGTCAGTCTGACAGAAAAACAAATGGGGTAGGATGTTCAGTATATTCTGAAAAAAATTCCAGAAAAATGGAAGTATCTTAAGACAAATAAGTAAGACGAAGAAAAACTAATTCAGCATCAAAACTAAGAGAAAACAATGATTTTGGAAAATCCGTCTTCACAGTGAAAACTATTCTGATATCTTATTTTGGCAAGAAAGATCAGCATTATGGTGCTCAACTTATGGTGCTTGATTTAGCCCAAGCAATAAAGAACCGGTTTCTTCATTGACCTTAAATAATTGGATTAATACTGAATATAAATTACAAGTCAACGAGGAAACATCATTTTTCATCCAGACTTCCGTCTGCCAATTCCGTTTTTCTTGATTTTGAACCAGTCCATCTAATCTTCCTCATTGGCCTTGGTACACTTCCAATGCTTTTGTTTTTCAGAAATAGAATGTCAATCTGGAAATGTATATGAGGCATGCCTATTATCATTTAAATTTTTTGCTTTGAATTTCATCCTGAAATCTGTAATTTTTCACATAGACACCTAGTGTCTGTTTACCTTCTTTATTCAAAACCCCTTAATATTTATCTATCACACTTTTGGAACATTTGTAAAATTGATTTCCCCATATCCTGCCGACATTGTATAGAAATCCATGCATTTTCAAAAAAAATTATATCGAAATATAAAATATGGATTTTTGGCCCATCATGTATAATATCATCTTTAGAAACGACAGCCTTAAAATAAGGTTATCATTTTTCCTGAAAAGATATCCATATTACGTGCTGTAAACAATAATCTAGTACAGCATGGTTCAATAAGGTAAGGTGAACTAGATTATGAAAAACTTGAATAATTAATGAAAGTCTATTGGGCAGCATGAACTCCCCACTAAGCCGGATGAAAGAAGTAATCGATAAATACTCTCGGGTAAAGCAATTCAAAAAACGCGCTACTCGTTTATCGCTGGGGAGATACGCTATCGGCATTGTTGACACATCCTTTGCACAGCGAGTTAATGTTTAATAGAAATATAAAAACGAGGCTGGTTGCTATTTACACTAAATGTCATGTGTATGGGGAGTATTCACATATCGGTTAATTGTACACAAATGTCTAAATAGAATATTGGTCGATGAGAAATATTACTACTATGCGTAGCTAGTGGAGCAAAATTCAGCAAACAGAAGGATTACGAGTAGCAGTGAAGGGATTGTATAATATTGCCGGCGTTCATGTATATGTTATTGTTATCAGTATCAATTTCATTGTGTAGCAACGTGTAAACAACTGATAGAGGATTATACATTGATTTTGAGTACGACATGTCGGCAGACAAAGACGGCCAGGATACTGATCCTGAGACAAAATCACAGACCCCAGGTTCTGCCAAAAGTAGGCAAAGTGACCAAGGAGAGGCGGAAGGAACCAGTTCAAGACCCAACAGCTCGGATAAGAGAGACGACACGTCTTCGCAGAAAGGATCACGGACTAATAGCGCATCTAGTAAAGGCAGATCATCCCCCACTGGAAGTGTGCAAAACGAGACTAAATCAGATCATGGTGACGAAGATAATGTAACTGTTAAAGATGACAATGAGAAAAACGATAATGAGGCAGCTGAAAGTGAAGACGTTCATAATGAACAAACAATGTCAAACGAGGAGGATAATGAAAAAGCGATTGAAAAGACTGAAGAAGAGATGTCTGAAATTACAGAGACCCCTCCGGAAGAGTTTGATAGCCAGAAATTCATCAAAAGTATGCAAGAGTACATGGACTTGTTTCGAGATCCAAAATGGAAAGGTGAAAACATAGACGAATACCCTCTAATGGATTTGAAACGTCTAATTGCCAAGTTCACCGCGACTGTGGATGACTATAAACGTTATACAAATCATTGTATGACACACGTGGATGAAATGAAGGAACAGCTCACGGATCTAAAGGATACAATCCATGAGAATATAAAAAAGGAAGGAGGAAACTCTAAATCGGGTAAGTAATCATATATTATCACTATATTGCTGAAAACATGGTTATGATAGGACTACAAATCCTCAATCACTTGACAGAATAATATGAAAACTCGAGAGATTGTTTTGGTAATAGAACTGACCATAATTCTAAACTGGTATTTGTCTGGAGTGTTTACGGTACCTTCGAACTGTTTACTTTAGACTTATCAAATAACTCTTGAAAGGATCTATATTTTCATATTCAACAGGCTAATGCAATTCTTTTCTTCGTGTAATTGTGCTATAAACGTTATTCCTAGATCGATCGTCATCTAATCCTGAATGTTATTGAATATCCTGCAGTGGATTGTCAGTAGTCCGGATTATGCCATACAATGCAAACATCTTATCTAATTTCCATTAACTAATATGGTATTAACTATTTAGAGCCTGTTAAGGTAGTTAGATTTAGTCTAATGATAGTAATCCAATGACCGGATCTTGTCATAACTGGCTGGACCTGCACGGAAACTGTATAGCACCATTTGAAAAATACAAAATATCAATCAACATACAACATGACTTTAAAGAGTTTATCCAGAAAAATTAGTGGTAAACACCTCCAGCTTATGTTTAATTCATATATTTTACCACATTTCGATTTCTATGATATCTTATATGGCTGCGCAAACTCCATGGTTCTAAAATGTCTCGATCGTTTATATTATAAAGCAGCAACTATTTGTTCAGGTGTCATACATGGCTCTTCCACAATTAAAACACTCCAAACATTAAATTGGCCAACTCTCGAAATTCGTAGAAAACTACATAGGATGCTCCTAGTCTTCAAAGTCAACAAGGGGAAGGCACCTCATTATGTTATTTCCATTTTTGACAAATTTAAAAGACCCCTCACAAGAGGCCTAAGGTCAAACCTACCGTATCTAACTCCACTGAAAAAGTCTTCTATCAAATCCAGATCATGTATTTATAATTGTTTATCTGAATGGAACTCAATAAATCCGTCCTTCAGGGAATACACTAATGTTGATACTTTTAAGAGAGCATTAACAAAGAGTTTGGTTAGCACTGATGTAGTTTTGGCATCTGACTTAAACATGAATAGATCACTTGAAATTTATCTAAATAGAATTAGAGTAGATCTAATATTTAAAGCTCACCTACATGCACACAATTTTGTAAATGTTCTTTCACCTGATTGTGCTTGTGGCCACATTAATGAAACCACAACTCACGTATTCTTCTCATGTCCTCTTCGACAAAATTATCTAATTACTTTGGAACAGCAGCTTTGTGATCTTGATCTTGGGTATAGGAATTTATGTAAAAATAGGCAGGAGAAATTACACTTCATTTTATATGGCCATGAAACACTCTCTTATGAGCAAAATATTGATGTTTTGAGGTTAAGTGCAATGTTTATCAGGAACTGTGTTGAGGGACCCCAGGCAGACTAGTGACCCACTATAGTGTTTTTATCAGATCACTTAAGCCCTTGTCATTTTCTTATTTTTACTATTGTCAAAGTGGCTTATAATGTTTTTTAACAAAGCCGCTCATATGTATGTATTATTAGGAGGCCCCAACGGGGGGCCTCCTATTAATTTTATAGATATTATTATTATTATTAGACTCCAGATTGAAAATCTGGAGTCTATTGCTTTTGCCAGTTTTCTTCTTATTATTATTCTTTCTTTCCGCGTTTTCTCAGCAACTAGAGGGACTTTCTGAAATCTGCTTACATGGTTAAATAGGTAATGAGACCTAGTTTCTGGGAAATTAGGTCAAATTTTTATCTAGGTCAAAGGTCAAAATCTAGGTCAAATTATCATTTTGTCAATTATCTCTGTCATTTTTCAATATTTTTTCAAAATTTTTTTTTCAACGTGTAGCCAAGAAAAAGACGATTCGACGGTGATTAATCAATTTTTTGATTACTTTTACCGATTTTGAGATATTGCGTCCGGAAAGTAGGTCAAACGAAAAAGTTCTCCAAATTCAACGTATGAGTTATGAAATAAGTGTAAAATTTCCTCAGGAATCCAAATCTGCAAACCAAATTTCGATCTGACTTCCGGTTCGGAAGCTATAGCGTTTTGAAATTGCTAAATTTGGTGCCCATGTAAAGCCAATGGGAAAAAAAGACTTTTTCGAAGTGTAAAATACAAGATATAGACTGAGCACAGCTTAACATAATGAATGCCCATAAAAGAAGGGGACCTCAAAAGCTACCTAGCTTCAAAATTTGGACACCAAAATGCCTAGGTCAAAATCTAGGTCAAATTCATAGTTTTTCCTTATTTTTGCGATTCTGGCACTACACTTTTAGGATTTGCTTCAAAATTTTGTATACAGGTAGCAAAGAGTGTGCTAATAGTGAGAGCCTTTTGCCGTCAGAAAGTATTTTGACCCACTTTTGAGATATGGTGTCCGTAAAGTAGGTCAAAATAAAAATTTCTCATAATTTAACTTATGAGTTATGAATTAAGGGTAGAATTTTCTCAGGAATCCGAATCTGCAAACCAAATTTCAATCCGACTTTCCGTTGGGAAGTTATGGCGTTTTGAAAGCTCAAAAATCGCTAATTTTGGTGCCCCATGTTATGTCAATGAGAAAAAAGATTTTTTTGAAGTGTAAAATACCAGATAAAGACTGAGTACAGCTTAAGATTCTGAAAATCTATAAAAGAAGGGGACCTCGAAGGCTATCTAGCTTTAATATTTGGACACCAAAATCCCTAGGTCAAAATCTAGGTCAAATACATAGTTTTTCCTTATTTTTGCGATTCTGGTACTACACTTTTGGGATTTGCTTCAAAATTTTGTATACAGGTAGCAAAGAGTGGGCTAATAGTGTTAGCCTTTTGCCGTCAGAGAGTATTTTGACCCACTTTTGAGATATGGTGTCCGAAAAGTAGGTCAAAGTAAAAAATTATCCAAATTTTACATATGAGTTATGAATTAAGAGAAGAATTTTCTCAGGAATCTGAATCTGCAAACCAAATTTCGATCTGACTTCCCCGGTTCCAAAGTTATGGCGTGTCCGAAAAGTAGGTCAAAATAAAAATTCGCCAAATTTAACGTATGAGTTATGAATAAGGGGTAGAATTTTGTCAGGAATCCGAATCTTTAAATCAAATTTCGATCCGACTTCTGGTTTGAAAGTTATGGCGTTTTGAAATTTCGAGAAAAATCGATCTGATGTTATCCTGATAGAAAGTCAAGGAAAAAAGATTTTTTTGAAGTGTAAAATACGAGATATAGATTGAGTACAGCTTAAGATAATGAATTCCTGTAAAAGAAGGGGACCTCAAAAGCTACCTAGTTTCAATATTTGGACACCAAAATGCCTAGGTCAAAATCTAGGTCAAATTCATAGTTTTTCCTTATTTTTGCGATTCTGGCACTACACTTTTAGGATTTGCTTCAAAATTTTGTAAACAGGTAGCAAAGAGTGTGCTAATAGTGTTAGCCGTTTGCCGTCAGAGAGTATTTTGACCCACTTTTGAGATATGGTGTCCGTAAAGTAGGTCAAAATAAAAAAATCTCCAAATTTAATGTATGAGTTATGAATTAAGGGTAGAATTTTCTCAGGAGTCCGAATCTTTAAACCAAAATACAATCTAACTTCTGGTTAGATAGTTATAGCGGTTTGAAGTCTCGAAAAGTCGATATGATGATATCCCCATGTTAAGCCAATGGAGTCGAAGATAAAAAATGGAGAGTTATCTAAATGTCTAAATTCTAGCTGACTCGATCAGCTTATTCTGGATGACTCAGCTTACAAGTATTCTGGATGACTCAGCTTAAAAAAAGTATTAAATCTGGAGTCTTAAATTGAACTTGTTCAATTTACATGTCTAGTTATTATTATTCTTTATTCTTCCTAAACCCTTTTCTCCTACTTCCAACTACCTTTCAACCATCTCCTTCATGCACCTACCAGGGACCTTGGCTGAACTTGGGGGGAAAGGAATTTTTATCTAGGTCAAGGTCAAAGGTTAAAATCTAGGTCAAATCAAAGTTTTTTTTAAGTTTCTCAGATTTCATCCTCATACTTCATTATTTCTTGCGATGAATTAAAATGTAACTAGATATAAGCATTCCCTACGAATTGCTCACTATATGTTCGCGTTAATTTTTTACCGTTTTTGAGATAATTGACGTCAAAAAACGGTAAAAATTGGTCATTTTTTAACTTGGTTCAAATTGACCAATTTTTTTTTTAAAAATCATCTACAAGTTGTCAGGATTCCAAATCTGACCTTACTTTTGACCTTTGACCTTTAGTTGACCTTCAGTGACCTCGGAAAGGTAAAAAAAGTTGATTTTTTAAATCGATTTTCTGGATTCAAATTTAGGTGCATTTAATCAAAAAAAAACTTAAGAGGCCTAAAAAAGTAAAATTTGCAAGGTCAAAGGTCAAGGTCATATAACTAAATCACAAACTGTGTTTTCTAAGTTTCTCAAAATTGGTAACTACAAATCAATATTTTTTCATGAAAGTCAGGATATATATTCCTCTATAGGTTCTACACATATTAGCAATTGACTATTTATTAAAATTGTGTACCAGTTTTGAGTTATTAGAACTCAAAAACTGAAAAAAGGTCAAATTTCGAAACTTTTAAAGGCTAAATTTCAGCTTGCTTCAAATTGACTAAATTTTTTTTTTAAACTCATCTACAAGTTCTCAGGATTCCAAATCTGATCTTACTTTTGACCTTTGACCTTTAGTTGACCTTCAGTGACCTCCGAAATGTCAAAAAAGTTGATTTTTCAAATCGATTTTCTGGATTCAAAAGGTATATTCATTCACAAAAGACCTTCTGAGGTCTAAAAAAGTAAAATTTGCAAGGTCAAAGGTCAAGGTCATCAAACGAAATCACAAACTGTGTTTTCTAAGTTTCTCAAAATTGGAGACTACAAATCAATTTTTTTTACTGAAAGTCAGAATATATATTCCTCTAAAGGCTCTACACATATTAGCAATTGACTATTTATTAAAATTTTGCTCCAGTTTTGAGATATTAGAACTCAAAAACTGAAAAAAGGTCAAATTTCAGATTTTTCAAGGTCAAATTTCACATTGCTTCAAATTGAACAAACTTTTTTTAAAAATCATCTACAAGATGCCTGGAGTTCATATATGACCTTGTATTTAAGATTTGTGCTTTGGCTGACCTTTACATATTCAAAAAAGCCTACGGGGCCTCCTTAAGATTGCTTGCAATCTTAAACCTCTAGTTATTATTTGATTTATGGAAATAAAGTTATGATAAAAAAAAAAAATGACTTTTATGTCATACATTCCTTACATCTTATTAGACTCCAGATGTCAATCTGGAGTCTATTGTTTTTGCCATAACTATAAGGTATCCAGTAAAGACCATTATACAGTTAATTTAGGTTCAGTATCTAGTTGGTGGGAAATTGGGTCAAATTTTTATCTAGGTCAAAGGTCAAGAACTAGGTCAAATCCAGTACTTTGTCAATTTTTTCGATTTTCTCGGTCGTCCTTCAATATTTTTGATCCGGGTTTTTTTCATTGTGTTCTTATAAAAAAGTAGGTTAGGACATTGTCGATTTTATTTTTTGATATCTCTTTCCGATTTTGAGATATGGCGTCCGGAACGTAGGTCAGAACAAAAAGTTCTCCAAATTCAACATGTGAGTTATGGAATAAGTGTAGAATGATCTCAGAAATCCGAATCTGCAAACTAAATTTCGATCCGACTTCCGGTTCGGAAGTTATGGCGTTTTGAAAACTCAAAAATCGCTAAATTTGGTGCCCATGTTAAGTCAATGGGAAAAAAGATTTTTTTGAAGTGAAAAATACGAAATATAGACTGAGTTCAGCTTCATATAATCAAAGCCTTTAAAAGAAGGGGACCTTAAAAGCCACATAGCTTCAAAATTTGGACACCAAAATGCCTAGGTCAAAATCTAGGTCAATTTCGAAGTTTTTTCTTATTTTTGCGATTCTGACACTACACTTTAATTATATTCTTCAAAATTGTGTATACATGTAGCCAAGAGTGTGCTAATAGCGTTAGCCTTTTGCCGTCAGAAAGTATTTTGACCCACTTTTGAGATATGGTGTCCGAAAAGTAGGTCAAAATAAAAAGTTCTCCAAATTTAACGTTTGAGTTATGAATTAAGAATAGAATTTTCTCAGAAATCCGAATCTGCAAACTAAATTTCGATCCGACTTCCGGTTCCGAAGTTATGGCGTGTCCAAAAAGTAGGTCAAAATAAAAATTCGCCAAATTTAACGTATGAGTTATGAATTAGGGGTAGAATTTTGTCAGGAATCCGGATCTTTAAATTAAATTTAGATCTGACTTCCGGTTCGGAAGTTATGGCGTTTTGAAATTTCGGAAAATCGATCTGATGGTATCCTGATAGAAAGTCAAGAGTAGAAAAGAAAATATTGAAAAATTCATCCATCCTTCCTATCTGATCCTATCCTATCCTTCCTATCTATCCTTCCTTCCTTCGTATCCTTTACTTGCTATCCTCTCCTATCATATCCTTTCTTCCTATTCTGTTCTATCCTATCCTTCTTTCTTATTCTATCCTATCGTTCCTTCCCATTCTATCCTATCCTACCTTCCTATTTTATCCATCCATCTTATTCTGGATGACTCAGCTTATTCTGGATGACTCGGCTTATTTTAGATGACTGGGCTTAAAAAAGTCTAGATCTGGAGTCTGAAATTGAACTTCGTTCAATTTCCAAAGTCTAGTTACATTTTCCTTTTGATTTATTGTTTCAATCGGACAGACTCGATAAAGGGTTACTTAACAACAAAATACATATGTACAAATAATTGTTCTTTTGGTTTATCGTAAACATTCTTTTTTGGATATCTCATCAATATATCACTTCAACGAATTATGTGAAAGAAAACCTTTAGATTCGACCATTAATGACTCCGGATTGAAAGCTATGAATTAATACGCAGAACATATTTTGGAGCATGGAATCCGCCACTCCGATCCTCCGTCCGTCTGTCCGTTCGTCCGTTTCATGTTTGAAGAACAAGTTCTTAAAATTGGATTTTATCTCTTACTGCTTTGGTCAAGTTCTCTTATAATTGCTGGTGCATTAGTATCATAAATAGACGGTGTTTGAGTGGGTCATTTGGCATTGCTTCAGTGCAAGTTTGATCAGTGAATGGGATACTTGGGTTTGCTTCCTTTTGACCAATTGTACGATTCAATATGATTTTTTCATTTACCTTTCTTGTAATAGATTATGATTTTTCTTCCTTGATCATCATGTTTTCATATTGATATCTCATTTGTTCCTGAAAATACATGTTCTGCGAAATATAATACGAAAATATATAGTCTAGTGTTTAGTATAACCTTGTAGGGCTATGTGTACTTTTCAATATCAAAACTTATCGATATTTAGCCTGTCACTCTACTTTGTGCAGTCTGCATTTAATCAATTCTTCAACAGGACTTTACTTCCAAGTTATTCTATCCAAGACTCTCAAGTATAGTGTTGATCTTTTTATTGTCGTATCTTATAAACACAAGATATACTGCTTTGAGTATCAAATCAATAAAAACGTGTGGTAATCTATGCTAAAAAGGTTGTTTATATTCTTTGTTTTAGATGGTAATCCCAATGCTGAGGAGAAAGAGCTCAAAGCAAAGGTGACTCAACTACAGGCTGAGATGGCCAAAGCAGCTGAAGTCGTAAGCCGGTCTGTTCAAATTGCAACAGAGACAGAGTCGTCTGCTGCTGAGGCTCAACTCGAGGCTGAAAAAGCGCGGGAAGAAGCTGTCCGAATGCAAGAAGAATTTGAAGCCAGGGAACGAGAAAAAGAATCGAAGAAAAGGGAAGAACAACAGAAAAAGAAAGACGAAGAAGAGAGGAAAAGAGCAGAAGAGGAAAGACAAAAAGAAGAAAAAGAAAAGAAAGAAAAGGAAGAAAGGCTGAAGCGCCAGAAATCCCAAATGGAGAAAAAAGCCCCTGAATGGGAAAAGTGGGACCCAAGCACGTATGTTCGATATTAATATAATTTTATATTTCAACAATAGTGATATGAAAAGAAATTCAGTTTATCCAAACAGCATCAGATTTGGCGTGCACCTAGTAATTTTCAAAATGGTGATTCAAATTTTAATATAGAGTCTTGATAGGTAAACTGATAAAACCTGAAATACACTTCGCGATTGCAGATTCAATGTTGAAGAAGGGGAATTTGACCAAGGTATAGGATGCTTGATTCGGGGTCGGCCTGGAGAATTCAACCCGGATGACTTGGAAGTAAAGGTGGTAAAGCAACTTGATGCAACGTTCACGTATAATGAAAATGAAGAACTGATTGGAAACATCGTCAGTATTAAACCTAAGGATGAAGATGCTAAACTAAAGGTAAGCATAGAACAGAAGCCACATCAGAAAGTTTGCACTGTATACATGAATATGTAAGAATCAAAATTTGTTGTATAATGGAATCATTTACAAAGATATTTCAGGGGCCACCGCCACTCCGTCAAGCGTTCATCTACATGTACCATGCATATGCAGAATCACAAAAAGTGGTCTTGATCATGAAAAAAGTGCATCTGGTTTTTATCCGAAAATACCTCATTAAAGATTTTTCTCAAAATCAGTATCTATATATCAATTGTGATCAAGTTAATAAATATTCCCAATTACGTGACCTTCGATAAACTAATTGATGAGCATACACTAAAATGGACATTATCATGTAATAATCAAACATTCATTTTATTTTAGAGCTCAATCTATGTGTCCTTGCCTCACTGCATATCGCGTCAGAGTGCATTGTGGAGAGAACCAGTTGTCAAGGCTGAGATTGACGGCAAGTGGATAGAAGTGCCTTCACAGGAAGTCACCATGGATGAGTATAAGGTACTAATAATGTACTCAACCACGAACTGTTGGTACTAATTGTGTACTCAACCACGAATTTTCGGTACTAATAGTGTACTCAATTTTTGGGACTCATTGTGTACTCAACCTCGAATTTTTAAAACAAAGCATGTCCCGAGCAAAGCAATTTTTGTCAATGATGTTGTGAACCAATCATTCCCTAGGACACAGATAAAACAATATGACGGTATGTAAATCAAAATTTACATGTGGACAATTATAAATGAGATATTTCACTACTACATAGCGGGCCTCTCCCACTTCCAGCGAAAAGTGCCATTTGATATGTACACGTACCAGTTATGATGAGTCAGATTTCAAGAAATATAAGTATGAATATTATGATTTCAAACTTCACATCGATCAACTCTATGTAACCAGACCAGGCTCGTTGTTATTGATGTATAGGATGCCAGTATCATCAAAAATCTCAATCCATTTTCAGGATCTGAAGTTCGTACAAGGTGAAGTGACACAATACACAAATGTTGCAGTCATATCAAGGTTTAAAAAAGAAGCACTGCTCCTACCAAAGAAAGGTGGTAAATCCCTATCAAGTATAGATGCCAGAATATGTGTCACTACCCCTAAAAATACATTTAAGTATGTAGAACAAGTGACAATACAGATTCAGCCTGTAGATTCGGCCTCCCAGAAAGAACTAACGCAGAAGAAATTAGAATGCAAAGATATGCTGACTTCTAGCTCTATATTAAGGACAACATGGAGCAACGAGAAGGACTGGAAGAATCCATTATACGTAAGCTGTAAAACTTGGTTAAATTGTTGCAATACTCGAGAAACTGGATTAAAGGACATTTATATTGGTTATCATTGGTTACACATAGGTTGGCCAATTATTTAAGGGCGTTTTGTGTCCGCCTGATGAATTTTTCTTTAAATGTTCCGTCTCACCATCTCATCTTCAGATATTGTAAGATACACTACTCACCGATTTGTTAGTCACCGTAACTACCCCATATGACATTTTCTTCATCCAAAATGGCAATGTATATTTCTCCGATTCCAGTTAAGTCTGCCAGTCCCTCCTAACCCAGTGCGAGCCAGGAAGGCAGCTGCTGCTAAAGCTGCCAAGGAGGCCAAGATGCAGATGGGAGAGAAGAAAGCCGCTATGATGGATTCGGAGAGCGATGAATCAAAGAGGAGGAAAGTTCAAGCGAGTGGAAATCAAAACAAATGGTATAACTTCTGAATACTTTTCAACATTGTGTGTTTAATGCATATTGATTCACAAAGTTTCAGTTCTATAATTTTATAACACCTCAAAGATCAAGGATGTATTAAATATTGAGATTTACAGGGTTGCTACTCCAGAAGCTGAGTAGATTCACCTTGATTTTGGGAAATGTATTATTAGTACAGTACAACATTCCCATGGTTTGAATATTTTCCATTTACCATCGATTTCAATGTGCTTAATGTTGATGTATTGAGATTTTCCAAATATTTGTTCATAGTCTGGTCAGGAAAAGTAGAGTATCCATACAATTACAATATCTATATGTGTACAGTGTAAATAACGCGAGAGATCACAGCCTCCAATTCAGTTTCCTTTGCAAGACAGAGATGGCCTGCGTTTTCAGAATGAGTATAAAGATACGTTATGGACACTCTGTATATCTTATTTGTTGGAATCTTTGCCATTAGAGTGATCGTTCGAGTCTACTTTACAGGTACATGGGTGAATATGGCAGCAACGATTGTTGGAATCTTTGCCATTAGAGTGATCGTTCGAGTCTACTTTACAGGTACATGGGTGAATATGGCAGCAACGACGATGACGAGACAGACTCTCTTTATTTACTGGAAAAACAGGATAACGGGAAGTGGATACAGCCAGCTGGTGCCGACGTCACAGCTCTTAAATTAGACATGGTGCACATTACCATTGCTAAACCACTGAAAAGGTATACTACACAAAGTCAGATTGTGAAGTTTATATAATTCAAATCGGATGTTTTATTGTTCTGATATATGGTGCGGTGTGTTCATTAAAAGTGTCATATTTGTTTCAGGTTCTTAGTATTAAGGACGAGAACAAATGTTGATGTCAAAGATGCAATAAAGATGGCGGAAGTTATCGAAGACTACCTTTCTAAACGAATAGTGACGGTTGTCATTAAGCAAAGGTAGGACAGCTCTGGTCTATTGCTGGTTAATACATGGACCTCTGTCTGTAGATATGTAATCTGTGAATATTTCTACATGTACATAATGAAATATAACTCATTTTGGAAGTGTGCATCAGTTTGACGATTGGTATATGGTGCATTAATAACTCAAATACTACACTGCTGTTAGCTACATTAACTATATATTGTTACGTTTTTGAAACCTTTAAACTGTTTATTCCAGTTCTGACGATTGGTGCGACGTAAGACTTAATGTTGTGCCCATACAGAAGGTGGATCGCCTCTTAAAAACCCTTGAATCAGATGGATACACAGAGGGTCCGGCCCCAAGTGCTTATATCTCGATAAAGGAGGGTGATATATTGGAATTTGGTTTCAGAATGAACATTAAAAATCAGAATGAAAATAATGGACCTTTAAGAGTTGTTTATAACTCGCAGTTAAAGACATCATTAGACTTCACTGTAAGAGAACAGGACAAATTCTTACAGAAGAGCTATACTGTATACAGGGGGTTCATACAGGCGTTCCATTACTATACAATTACAGAGGAGTATAAACCTGATAAGAAGAAACAAAAAGAACTAGATAAGAAAAAGGCTGACCGAAAGAAGGAGGAGGTGAAGAGAAAACTTGAAGAGAAACGAAAGAAGGAAGAAGACGATAATAAACAGGAAGGTGATGCAAATGAGAATAAGGAAAACTCTAATGAGGATAAGGAAAATGAAGAAAATAAGGCGGCTGAACATGAACCAGAGGAAGAGGAGGACGAGGAGCCAAAAGAGATCATTGTTGAAAAGAAGGATCTACTTACTGAGTGTGTCATTAGCATTCCAAAGGTAGGGTAGGGTCATTATATTTTATATTAATGCGTCAAAGTCACATTTTAAATTTATAAATTACATTACATGTGCAAGTTGGCGAACCTAATCCTTTAGACACATAGATTGCCTAAGTACATGAAGTTCAATTATCGATATAGCCTATATTCCTTAAGTTACTAAGTCGTACGTTTTTATAGAATAGATAATTTCAAATATGAATAGATAATTATTACACAAATATGAAAACGATCACGCTTAAGAATTGCTTGTAGTACTAAACAAAATAAATGATATAACTAGAAATTCAGTTTTGATTTTCATTCGTTGACGAAATAGTTTTGCAATAAACATCTTTTTAAATAGCTGCATGCTAAAGTATTTCATATTTATTCATGTGCAGAAAGAGTTGATACCTCACTAATGTCTGGGTCACGTATGCTCCGATTCATAGGCCGGCACCCGGCCAATTGAGTAAATTGTATTCAACTTGCAAATGTGCTCCAGGCATTAAAAATATAACATAAGCATCTATTTTCTGTGAAATTAATGAATATGTGTGCCTTATATAATTAATCTAGGAAGAGGAACATATTTCGCCGAGACAGAAGGTACCTATTATCATCAAACGCAACCGTGACCCAATAGACGCAGACTTTCTGCAGCATATAGCTGAAGAACTTGGCGATGAATGGCAAAGGCTTAGTAACTTATTAAATGTGAGAAAGAATCGCATCCAGGCTATCATGGTTGTCAGTAGAGACAATCACCAGAAGCGAGACGAGGCAGCCAAGTATGATATGTTGATGACGTGGCTCAAAAAGGTTCCTAGGGGAATGAACAAGGTAGGCGTATAGTTAAGTCAATTCACGAGGCAGATATGTACTTAAGATATACATGTATAATAATAACAAGTGTTAAACATATCTCAATCATTTTTGATGTACTTAAGATATAAATATAAGTGTCCCTGGTTCTTATATCAGCAAGAGCAAATGATGAACAATTTACAAGAAAACATCTTTGGTAACGCTTCAAGTAAAATATACAATCATCAGTTACGTATAGTCGGGTTTTGATATATTGTTAACCCCCATCCCTAGAATTACTCCAAAATCCTCGCCATGCCTACGGTCCATCGGTGGGACAGAGATATATCCATCAGGGTAAACCAAATATCCAAAGCCTCCCAGTACATAACCCTTATTATCTATTTCAGGTTGCTAAACTAGCAGATGCTTTGAAGGCTGTTGGTAGGAGAGATCTTTACGAGGAGGTATATGACGCACAACGTGATTTTATAACCAAACAAAAGGAAAGCGCATAAATGCTTGACAAAAAAGCAATACTAGAAAATGATCATCCACCGGCGATGTATGGGAATACACGAGAACAGCAGTTGACTTTGATAGTATATCTGATATGTTTAAAAGTGCATAAGGTTGAACGTCGTAAAGTATGGACACATCTGTTCCGTCCCATAACGATTCGACAAAGATAAGAATTGTTTTAAGAATTACCTGTACAATGAAGCATTCGTTTAGACAAACTTGATTGAGTTTTTTATTGAAGTTTTCAAACGTTGCCAATGTGGCCAATGTCGCAATATTTCCAACTCAGGCACGAAAGAGCTGTTAGAATATGACACCTAAAATAGTACGAATTGACCTTGTTCAAATGCCATGAGCCTAGTCACTATAAATTTCACAATATCATAATATCTTATACTCGACACAAGTATATCCCAAAAAGCTATTTACTCAGTGGCCCACTGCATCAAACGTGTGGCGAGACTTGCTTTCTATATCTAGTGACTTATTTGACTCATGAAAATACAACATACGTCGTATACCTTACGTACAACATGAAAAAGTATTGACTCTGTAGCGATCATGGTTTAGCTACATGTTTGTATGTAAATGAGGGAGGTAAGGCATCTGTCTAACCAAAGTTATAGAGAAATATTCTTTTCAACTGAAGCTGCAAAAATGATGTTACATTGTTCTATAATATTAGGCTTTGTCTCGACTGTGTGGATCCTGACTACGCACTGGCGATGTAATATTTATTTTCAAAGTGCATTTGGCCATAACACAGGAGGAATATCCGTCCATGTTTTTGGCTCATTACATATTGTACGCCCCGTGTGATGTAACATTTATTTTCAAAGTGTATTTGGCAATAATTACAGAATATCCGTCCATGATTTGATTTTATAAACATTTCTTTTGATGTATTTTTGTATAAACTTTAAATTGTAAATTACTGCTGTTCTGTTGTGGGAAGGTGGCACGATAGCTGCTGTGTCAATCAAATATTTTAATGTAAATAAATTGCAATTTATAAGCTTCTTGAAGCATACATCCGCTTACATAGTTTTCAGCTTCTTGATTTATAGATAGCATTGATAAGCAAAACATCGTTCTTAATGACAAAATAATCTTAAATGTGTGAGCAAAAAAGCTATAGCAATACTTATCCAAACTTTGATACTTCATTTTTTGACATATTGCTTTATTATATGAAATATTAACCCATAGTTATTCAGTTGATGTTTGTTGATATTATGACAATCTACAGTTTTAACAAAGACAGTGCTGCTATATACTTAGGGACCCAGCCTGAATATTTTTGTTTTTGAATATTGGAGAGTATTACGCGAGATTTTTTCATTTTCTTGTTGGAAAATATATTCATTTTATGATGTGGGGTGATATCTAGAGTTTGAGGCTTGCGAAAATAAGATATCCTCATCTTTATACCCCCCACCCTATAATTTCAGGGGGGTCAGAAGAAAATAAACTTTAATTCATAACTTTGGAAGTAAATGAGATACAAACTTAATTTTTTCACCATAATTTATAGAATAACATCAGTAATGCAGAAAAAAAAATAAAACGAAAATAAGCTAATTTGCATAATTTAACCCTTAAACCGCCATAAAAACTATTAAATAACGGAATGATAATAAACAACTTTTACTGTAATTGTCTTCATATGAAGTTATAACTTATGAAATAATTCCTAAAAATGCATCTATATATGTATATTAGATGTGCAAAATATTAAAAGTGTATCTTACATAACGACTGTGAAAAATATTTCTCCCCTTACCCTAAAATTGAAGGGAGGGGGTCAAAAGAAAATAAACTTTAATTCATAACTTTGGAAGTATATAAGATACAAACTTAATTTTTTCACCAAAATTTACAAAATAATATCAATAATGGAGAAAAAAATATTTTGAACAAAAATAAGCTAATTTGCATAATTTAACCCTTAAACCGCCATAAAAACTATTAAATGACAAAATGATAATATACGATATTTACTGTAATTACCTTCATATGAAGTTATAACTGATGAAATTATTCCTAAAAATGCATCTATATATGTATAATAGATGTGAAACAGATATGCACAATATAAAGAGGTTATTTTATATAATGAGTGTGAAAAGAATCTTACACCCTACCTTAATAATTTTGAGGGCTCGGGGGGGGGGGGGTTAAAGAAAATAATAGACTTTAACTCATAACTTTGAAATAATTTAAGAAAGAGCTTATATTTCTTCGCTGAAAATTGAGAAATCACATCAATAATGAAACGAATATTACATGGGGACAATACTATATTTCAACTAATTTGCATAATTTAAGCTTCAAACAGTCATGCGAATCATTATGAGGCAAAGTGGTTCTATACTGAAATTGACTTCACATGAAGTAAGGACTTTGACAATATATCCTTTCTTAATACTAGAATTTAAATGGAAAAATGATATCAACAATTATGGAGCTATTTTCCCAACTATTTCAATGCCCATGGAGATTTTCATAGATATAATACTAGAGGCAAATCAAACTTCACCCTTCCTAAAGCAAAACTGAAAATTATGGCAAAAAACAATAGCCTTTAGTGGTTACTCCATATGGAACAATCTCCCAGAAGAAATAAAAAAGTCAAATTCCATTTCTTTTCTTAAATCAAAACTGAAGAAGCATATTCTCTTAGCTTATTAATCATTAGTTGACTATATCATTTCTTGTTTCTTCAGTAAGAAGGGTAGGCTCTCAAGGGAGGTACATGGGCCAACCTGGGGGCTGCTCCAAACTACTTAAGATCTAAAATAATAATTCTGACCATACCAACCTTGGGGAAGGTAAAATAATAACTAATATTTTATAAGAATCACACTTTTAACGATTATTTGCCTCAATGCGGTAGCCTGGTATCTTTAAATAATAATTAATGAAGCTACACATTCATAAAATTTCCCCATGGCATATGGCACCTTCTTGGCTTCAAATGAAACGAGCATCATGGATCCCCCATACCTTTATTTATTATAATCTAACTTTTGTGATTACATTCCGGTTTGATTCGTTGACAACATAATGATATACTTCATGATTTAAGTACTATATGTACGGGTATTTAAGCATCACCTGTGGTGCCACCTATTATTAATAATATGTGTACATATAATGATTAAATGTATGAATAAATTGAGTTTAATTGAACTTGCAATGTTTCAGAATAACCCTTAAAAAGGTAACCATAACAATTCTAAAGTTTATTGAACCATATTCGAGAGTCACTGTGGGGACTGGTGTCATATTCTAGGTTGTAGGTACCTGATGCAGTGAAAATGTCATCATATGTGTTTGGGTTAATCCACTTATTCCCGTCCACACTCACTTTCCTTTGAGCCGCATGAACATGCAGCAAAACATTCTGTACCTGCAGTGGCACATGAGCAAGTGGTTTAACATATTGCTTTGTCCTTGTATCGTTTGCATGTGCAAAATGACTTTGGGATTTTTGTTATATCAAGTTTCGGTTTTTGGTCATTTTAATGGTCTCAAGAGTAATATGAACCACTTGACATCCAAATCCATTCCCTGGCTCTGGAATCTCAAGAAGTGGTTTGTCAGCATTCATTGAAATGTATAATTGTTATAAACCAAAAATGCATCCATAGTTAGTGGTTATGCTCTAATATCATTTTGGATGCTGCAAACAAGTGTAATACATCCAATAATAGTTTGTTTTTATATTGAAATATAAACAAAAATAACGCAACTCCCCTAGACCAGAGATCGTGCCCATGTGGACAGTCAATGGAGACAGAAACTCACTTTAAAGTAGAATGTCATATGTTTGAAAATGAACGATTAAGTCTGTTTGCCTAAATGACTGATATCCATAGTGACTTTTACATGTATACAAGTCTAGGAAAATATTGTATAATAATGAATGAAAAAAACTGTTCAAAGGACACTTGGAAAATGTATGATAAATATGTTAGTCAAAAGGCGTGAAATAGTTACATGCGATGGTCTCTAATAGGTCGGCATCAACCAGGAATTGTTTTAATTCATGTATGTATCTTAATGTAACATCTTTAGTGTGTTAGACTTTAATTAATAAATTTACTACTACTACTAGTATAATATTGTTTCCATGTAATATTTGTTTCATTCTTGATGTGATTTCTCAATGTTCTGGCGAAGAAATACATGTATTAGCTCTTTCTTATACGATTTCAAAGTTATGAATCAAAGTTTATTATTTTTTTTAACTTCCCCCAACCCTTAAATATTAGGGTAGGGTGTGAGATTTTTTCACACTCATTATATACAATACCCTTTTTATATTGTGCATACCCGTTGTAAATGTATTTCTAGGAATTATTTCACAAGTTATAACTTCATAGAAGTCAATTAAAGTAAATTTCGTATTTCATCACTTTGTCATTTAACGTTTTTTATGACCGAATTACTGACGTTATAACATAAATTTTGGTGAAAGAATTATGTTTGTACCTCATATACTTCCAAAGTTATGAATTAAAGTCCATTTCCATTTGACCCCCCTCAAATATCTGGGTAGGGGGAGCAAATTTTTTTCAGCGTCGTTATGTAAGATACAGTTTTAATATTATGCACATCTGTTATACATATATAGATGCATTTTTAGGAATTACTTTATTTGTTAAAACTTCATGAGAGGTCAATTAGAGTAAATGTCGTATTTTATCGCATCGTCATTTAACAGTTTTTATGACTGTATAAGGGTTAAATTATGCAAATTAGCTTATTTGCATATCACAAATATTTTCTCTGAATTACTGATGTTATTACATAAACTTTGGTGAAAAAATTAAGTTTGCACCTCATATACTTTTAAAATTATGAATTAAATTCCATTTTTATTTGACCCCCTCCCCTCAAAAATCTGGATAGGGGGAGAATTTTTTTCACAGTCTTTATGTAAGATACACTTCTAATATTTTGCACATTTATTATACATATATAGATGCATTTTTAGGAATTATTTCATAAGTTATAACTTCATATGAAGGCAATAACAGTAAATGTGATATAACATCATTTCGTCATTTACTAGTTTTTATGGCAGTTTAAGGGTTAAATTATGCAAATTAGCTTTTTTTCATTCAAAATATTTTTTTCTTCATTACTGATGGTATTTCATAAATTTTGGTGAAAAAATTAAGTTTGTATCTCATATACTTCCAAAGTTATGAATTAAAGTCTATTTTCTTCTGACCCCCCTAAAATTATAGGGCGGGGGTTATAAAGATGAAGATATCTTATTTTCGCAAGTCTCAAACTCTAGATATCACCCCACATCATAAAAGTAACTTATTTTCCAACAAGAACTGAAAAAATCTCGCGTAATACTTTCCAATATCCATTTTCACTTTATAGCTGTTTCTCAGAACTTGGGTCCCTGAGTAATAGTAAAGATTTCAAAGTCACGCAGAACGCAGAACTGAAATTAATGATATACAGAAAACAGACATGATAGTGTACAGCTAGGAGTTCATTGTTTGATTTCAGAACACATTTTTATTTGTTTTATTTTGATGACCGATATGTTGCAATCGTCTAAAATGAATGAATACAACGGCGGTACTTATGTGAGTCAAGCTCGAAACAATATAAGGCGTCTCCGTGACAATGGTAACCATAGAGATAGTAGCATTGTTTCTTAGCCGTTTGTCAGGTTACAGTGACAAATAAGGTCAGATCATATTTTAAAGCAATAGGTTGAACGTTAAATCATTATTAGCAATAATTACTGCACGCCTGCCTTTTGATTATATTGTCAGAAAATAATATGACTAAAAAAAGAATAAATGTATTATCTAAATAAATCATCGCAAATATTTAGATACGCAAAAAAATTTGAATTTCAATTGTTAAAAACATCTCTTATTTTAATTGTTAAACTAAAAGGTTTTAAGAATGGTCCATTTTATGTTCGTGAATATCAGTTTATATCCATTATTGGTTTAAAATAAAATCCCATTATCCTTTGTCGCAGAACTGTTCACTGTTACACTTTACAAATATGAATGAAACTCGCGAGGATATTAGATAACAATACAAACTAGAAAGAAACTGTTTCTGCGACACCAACAATAGGGATTAACCTGTTCAAATATTTTAGCTGCTACTGTGAGGCTAGAACGGACAAACCTTTTAGCAGATTAGAATATTGTTGAAAAACGGAGAGTAAATTAGATGGACCCAACCACACTCTAGCAACACCTTTTCCGAATGCAGTAAAGACATTTGAAACATTTGGAACGTTGTAACCACAAAAGTAGCTTAGGAGTCGTCTTTTACGTTTAACAGTTTCGCACCTATTTTCGAGATGTCCAAAGCACGACCAAAGATGAATTTAACGACAGCGGCTACCGGGACGCTTGGTCGATCGATGAGGAAACCCGTTGGTGCTGAACCAACCGTGATAGCCCAATCAGAGTCGGAGGTAACAATGGAGGTCCAATCAACCGCGGACCGTAGTGATGCATATATCCACACGGGGGGCAAACGAATAATGAACATGGAGAACACTTATCGCATGTCACCCGTGTCTCAGCAGAAGTTCAACTCTTGTGAGGTAGAAAGAGTCGCTGAAGATGTGTTGGAGAACCGTCTTCGCGATGTTCAATACGATCCAACTCTTTGCAAGCAGCTTAGTCAGGAATTGGCAGGACATATCATGGAGAGAGTGAAGTCATGTGCCTTTAAAAGGTACAAACTTGTGGCGGTGGTTAGTATCGGGAGTCTAGCAGAGAGGCCAGGGATGCAGTTCGGGAGCAGATGTTTATGGAACGATTCCACTGACACTTTCTGCAGTGTAAAATATTCGAATGGTTCCCTCTTTGCTGTTGCTATGGTCTATGGCCTGTACTTTGAATAGGGGCCTACCAGTCACAACTTTTATTGGAAGATTATACCTCACTAAATGGGATCAAGATCACCCTATTGTATGTTTCAGGGAACAATACTACTGATTTGTAAAAGCTCAATGCTAACAACAATGATATTTTCAAATCGACTTAAATAGGATTATTATTTAAAGGTTATTGGATTATTACCAAGAACTCAGTTTGTGAAACCACAACAGAAAAGGTTGAAAATGTCAAAGATAAAGAAAGCCTTTTTATCAAACATGTTTCCCAGTAGGCCTTATTTATAACTTAGTACTAATAACTACTTCTTTTCTTATACCTCAAAAGGGCCAGTCAGAGTTGGACAGGTTATTGCGTCCTCGGTCAGTAAGATCAATGCAACCACTTGTGAAACGGGGTTGCTTGCAACAAACCCAATATGTGTTAAATTAATGAACAATTTAAAATTTCAATTTTCAGAACTTCCCATTTCAACATATAGAGAACAACAATTGCAGAATTATTTCATGATATACGAATATGATTTTTGTATATTTTGTAATTAAATATTATTTATCTCCAAAATTGGAGGAAGATAAACATAATTATGACATAGTTTGCCATTTCATGATACTACATCAAGATTGAAGAATGGCGACATACTTGTCTAATGTTAGAATATGTAATAACTGTCTGTAACAAACATAGCTGTATAAAATTTAACTAAATCAAATACTGTATAATTCACACGAATACATTTGTTTATATTTATTTTTCTTCTGAATATCATTAATTTCTACAGAATGATGCTGCACTATATAGGTATTTGTTTCCATCAACCATTCGACTACAGTATGACCACTCCCCTCCATAGGTTTGACAACTGGACGTTTTCAATGGAAAGCTCATCAATGCCAGTCAATGTTTAAATTTTGATTTTATTCCTTTATAAAATTAGCTCGGAAATAAAGTGACTCTGGCGAATTCTTAAAATCAACGACCATACCATACTATGGTCAGGCAAGCAATGTGATTCAATGGAAAATCATGGCAACGTTCAACAAATAAAATACCTTTCCTATGACTATCCAGCTTTGACAAATGATCAAAAGGGGACATGCGATTGCCTAACCTATGAAGAGTACTGTACGTCAGTAGAGGTACATGTTCCTAAAAGCTTCCAAGATGTACTTTTTAACTTGGCAACGCACTCCAGAAGTTTTTGCACGGTTGCAACAAATTCATGTCCAGCTGGCTTGTTCAGTAATCATCTCACCATCTTACGAAGTATATTGAGCATTTGCTGTCTTACATGTGATTTTAACAAACAAAATAAGATAAGACTTAAGAGTTATGTTTGCGAGACATCTTTGTCAAAATAAAGTTAAATGGAGGTTGCTGTTGAAATACAGTACTAGTATATATATAGTTTTATAAAACAACGTAATATGCAGTCATATGAGTCTTAAGTTCGATATATTGACTTCAATCTAACTGTAAATCTTGATTACATGAAAAGAAGTAAAATGAAGGAGACCTATTTGAAAGCAAACGTGTAACTATCAAATATCCAATGGCGCAGGGGTAGAACCAAAGCAAATAATTTACAACACATTAGAAATTCAAATTCTAAATTTTGAAACGCATGTGTTAGAACGAATGGTAACATTACTGCAATTTTGATGAAGTTCTGAAATTGAGATTCCCAACATCAGCTACAACATCATCTTCAAACATTTCGCTCTCAGCCAATTAAATAAGAGGCGAAAGTGAATGAAAAGTTCGACGGTATTGCTTCCTCTCTTGGCCAAATCTATGCCCCTTTCACCGCTCCTTGAGCCAACGGAAGCTTTGTGATTGGACTGGGGTTCGAGATAACGATTTTTTATTCTATAAAACATGAATTGAACCAAGGCATGTCCACTTCTCACATTTTGCAGTCATGCTGAAGGCATTATTATTTTGCGGACTGGTTGGTAAGTTTCTGTACCATATGGAAGAATTTTTATAAATTTGAGAAAAACTTCAAAGGTATAGTAAAATTTATTCAAACTGTTATAATTATGGCAAGTTGATCATATGTGGATAATGTTTTAATGTTGTTTTTCAGGACTTTCTTATCAAGTGGTGTGGAACAGTAAGTTTTAGTTAGAATCACATTGGAAAAACTAAAAATCTTGATTATTCAAAACAATGCGACATGGAGAATTTTAAAGTTTGATATAGCCTTATTACTGATAACAAGCGCAAACTTTGTTCAATGACTGCGAGAAGAGCAATGTAACCCTGCCATCGCACAAAAACTTGTTGAAACTATTGAAATGGCTTTAAATCTGGGAAATCTGGTTTGTTCCACTCAAACGTGGCGGGTCGTGTCGTAGACAGGATCATTGAGAATTGAAATTGTGACCTCTTACTTCGATCTTGTATTGCAACATCATTTGGTTGGTCTCGCTTTTAATTTAGCCGCTGACTGTGGCCAAGGAGGTTCTGGTCCACCGGGAGATGTTCAAATCGTGGATGGAGTGGAGTCTGCTGATGGACAATGGCCCTGGCAGGTACGTCAATTCCAGTTTCTATTTACAGTCACTTATCGAAGAAGCAGTCTCATTGAAGGACCCATCCTGAACACAGACTGAGAGTCTGAACATTTGTTTTATACAGCTGTTTCATCCATAAGCTCATATTCTAGATTTCACTGAGACGAGAAGGTCTATTCGGATTCGGCCACTCATGTGGAGGTAGTATCATTAACAACAAGTGGATCCTCACAGCAGCTCATTGTCTCTCAGCGTAAGTAACATAAATAACATTTTATTTGTGTCGGTTTGGATAATTTTTGAAAGACAATCACTTGAATTCTCACGGTAGATAAAGGTGACGCAGTCCGGATACATAATTATGCCCATCCGAAACGAGGCGGTATGTTTTGGCAAAACATCCCTAATTCTCGTTACCTTATGAGTCAATGAGCAAGGGTCAAACGCCTTATTTTTTATTTCAAGTATGGACAGTTTTGACCCCACTGGCCTATCTGACGTTCAAAAGCAATGTCTAAGCAAAGCTACACGTTGACACTAAGCTCAAAATAGGTCAAACATCTACTTTTTGTAATAATCTGTCAATCGTGACACCATTCCTCCCTCTGCTGCCACAAATTGAAATTCACTGAAATAAGGCCAAAATAACGCCTACGCATGTTATATGTGCAATCAGCATTCTTCAATTTTTCAAATCCTGAAGGAGTATATTCCAAGTCTTGATCGCGTGCATTTTCTTAACCGCTTCACCTTCAACGCCTGCTAAATTTCAAGGATAAAATGTGCAAGTCCATAAAATTCAAAATGTAGATATACAGATCGATATTCAGAATACTCAAAACTATAAGCAAATAACACAATTATAATATTTATTTTTTCAAACAGTACCGGTGATGCTAGCGGTTATCAAATCGAATATGGAATGAACATCCGTGATACAGGTACCCTTGATGATCCAGTCCGATACATCAGACACGCAGACTTCGACAGTGATAGCAATGAAAATGATATCGCATTGATAGAGCTCAGTGGAACACTCTCATGGAGTTCTACCGTCCGCCCAGTGTGCCAACCAACCACAGCTAATATTGATGGCCGCCAGTCAGTTGTCAGTGGATGGGGAACTGAGTTCTCAGGTAAAACTCAGAATAGCATGTGGCAAACAAAATAAATTATATGAAAACATCACATATCATTGTAACGACCCTGGGGAGCTGTAGTGTACAAACCAGATACCATTGACACGAAAGGAAGTGTACTAAATTCAGTGCCACATGTGGGACTCGACCCCGGGGCCTTGCGCCCTAAAGGCTTACGCTATACGCCCGAATCAAAGGGGTTAGTCGCGAAAGCCAGGCTTTAACTGTGAGTTGTTATCGAGGGTCATTAAAATCAAATTGCTTGATGAAAACGTGTTTCATACATTATGAATTTATAGGTGGTTCCGTTACAACAGAACTCCGACACGTACAAAAGACTATTGTCTCCAACGATGAATGCCGCAACTCTTACGCCGATATTTTCGACAGCAGTCTCTGTTCTGGCCTTGATGATGAGGGTGATTCCTGCCAGGTAAAACAGTTGGCAAACACTTTTTGATATAATCTTATAGATTCCATGTTGAATAGGTTATGCACTACATTGCCTGCTTTCTTTGTAGGGAGACAGCGGCGGCCCATTGTCCATAAATGAGAATGGCCGATGGCTAGAGGTTGGCGTGGTCTCCTGGGGTCGTGGATGCGCAGTGCCTGGTTACCCTGGTGTTTACGCTAGAGTTTCTTCATACCTCCAATGGATCATCGACCAAAATTAATAAACATGATTTGGTTTTGATATAAACAGCTTATTAAAATACTTTATAATTTATTAAACAGAAAATTCACTGGTTTGTTTTCTTGTTTGGTGTTTCATGGGACTTGATAAATGGAACATACCACCACTGGAGTTTCAAGGACGGCTACCAAATTTGAAAAGAAAACTGTAAAAGATCCTATAATTTATTGTATGCAGCCATATCTACAAATTAATGCACATGAATGGATAATTATAGGATATCCTATGATTTAGAGGAATATCAATTTTATCTATCTACGAGGTGATATTGATATCTGCACGAGAGAGCGAAACATATAGGTTTTCCAGAGTATCGTGGCGATATCCTGCGGTTATTCATTTTGCCAATAGATATCAAATTTATTCTTTAATGTTATTATAAAATGTACATTTAGCACACTAAGTATAGGATAATTGGATATGCCAAGCAATAATAGACTAGTACCGACGTTATTCCCTCTAGATATCCTTGTCCAATAAAGTTAAATGGAGATTGCTTTTGATTATATGTAATATGTAAAGTAATTCTAGTGATAAGTTTTACAAAACAACGTAATACATCCTTGGTACAAGGGTATTTCATTCTTCCCATCGCTATTATGGCAGCGAAGCCCAATCTCGAAGTATAAACGTAATATGCAGCCACGTGATTTTGACTTTGATATATTGCACTGTCCACGAATTGTAAATCTTGATACCATGATTATAAATAAATTGAAGGAGGCCCAATATTGCAAGTAAATGTGTTACTCTGTCAAATGATCCTCCAATGGCGCAGGTGAAGACCAAGGCTTTTGGCTATTAATATTGACAACATTTTAGAAATACAGATGCTATATTTTGGTAATTGTTACAAAGAACTAAATCTATTCAACTACAATTTTGACGAAGATCTGGAGATTGCCCTTAAACCCCACAAAAGCATATTTCAACATATATCCCTCTCGTCACAATAAAAGTAGTAGAGGTGAAAGAGACTAAGAAGGGTCGACGGTATTGCTTCCTCTCTTGTCAAAATCAATGCACCTTACACCGCACCTTAAGCCAACGGAAGCTTTGTGATTGGACCATGAAAGAGATAAAAAATTTCATTGTATAAAACATGAATTGAACTAAGGCATGTCCACTTCACACACTTTGCAGTCATGTTGAAGGCACTATTATTCTGCGGACTGGTTGGTGAGTTTCTGTACCATATGGGAGAATTGAATTTGTTTCAACTTAAAATAAAAATTATGATATTATTAGTTTGATGTTGTGTACAATGTTTTAATGTTATTTTCAGGACTTTCCTATCAAGTGGTGTGGAACAGTAAGTTTTAATTTGAATCTCATTGGAAAACCTAAAATCTTAATTATTCAACATTGACAAGGCACGAAGAATTCTTAAGTTTGAAATGGCCTAAATGATAAAAGCGCCAACTTGGTTCAATATGAAGGCGAAGAGAGTAATGTAACACGATTACGCAACAACTTCTTGTTGAAACTATTGAAATGGGAAGTCGGGAGTTTCATTCAAACGTATGAGTGGGTATTGTAGGGAGGTTTTCTGACGAATATTATACAACCAATAATTGAAATTGTGAGCTCTTGCTTCAATCTTGTATTGCAACATCATTTGGTTGGTCTCTTTATTTAGCCGCTGATTGTGGCCAAGGAGGTGATGGTCCACCGGGAGATGTTCAAATCGTGGATGGAGTAGAGTCCGCCGATGGACAATGGCCCTGGCAGGTATGTCAATTCTAATTGGCATGTCAATTCTATAGGTGGCAAATATGGCAATTCCATTTGGCATGTCAATTCTCGTTGGCTTGTCAATTCTAATTGGCAAATATGTCAATTCTAGTTGTCATGTCAATTCTAGTTGCCAAATATGGCAATTCTAGTTGGCATGTCAATTCTAGTTGGCAAATATGTCAATTCTAGTTGTCATGTCAATTCTAGTTGCCAAATATGGCAATTCTAGTTGACATGTCAATTCTAGTTGGCAAATGTCAATTCTAATTGTCATGTCAATTCTAGTTGCCAAATATGGCAATTCTAGTTGGCATGTCAATTCTAGTTGGCAAATATGACAATTCTAGTTAGCAAATATGTCAATTCTAGTTGGCATGTCAATTCTAGTTGGCAAATATGGCAATTCTAGTTGGCATGTCAATTCTAAAAATAAATATTTTGCTATCACAAAAATGGCCATGGTCTGAGGCGTATAATACTATAAGGTGCATTTGAAATTAGCATTAGCAGGTAATAGTGGCTGATATGCGATCGCTATTATCAAAACTATGTTAATAAAAATAGGACACACTTGAAATTAGCATTACCAGATATAATCACTATTTTGCGATTATATCGATCTTATCAAATGTATCGCTTTTTATCGCTAATTGATGATATTCCTCACCTTCATGGTATATCCGACACCCAGATTCTTTCCTGTTGCTGTTTCTTCCATTTGTTCATATTTTAGATTTCATTGAGAAGGGAAGGTCTATTCGGATTCGGCCACTCATGTGGAGGTAGTATCATTAACAACAAGTGGATCCTCACAGCAGCTCATTGTCTCTCAGCGTGAGTATTAAGATGATTTTTGACACACGTTTATTTACTTGCATTCTCACGGTAGATAAAGGTGGCGCAGTTCGGATAATAATTATGCCTATCCAAAACGAGGCTGCAGGCCAGACTAATTAGTAAAGATTGTCGATAAGCTTTTACACCATTTTAGCATCCATTTATTTGAACTGTAATAGCAAAAAGAATATGTTTCCGTCAAAATCGTCTTCATGGACTTGACTAAACATATTGCGATAATTTGCTCGTAATTAATACATGTGTAAAAATTCTTCTAATTGTTTTCAAATCCAGATTAGGGACTACATATTTTACAAGTTTTGAGCGCGTGCATTTTCATCATCTTTTAAATTTACCGCCCGTTGTTCTCGAATAGATAAAATGTGCAAGTCCATGGAGATAGAAGATGTCGATTTACAGATTGACTTTTTGAATCGAAAAAATGGTAATGAATAACACAATTATATTATGTTCATTCTTTCAAACAGTACCGGTGATGCTAGCGGTTATCAAATCGAATATGGAATGAACATCCGTGATACAGGTACCCTTGATGATCCAGTCCAATACATCAGACACGAAGACTACGACAGTGGTACCAATGAAAATGATATCGCATTGATGGAGCTCAGTGGGACCCTCTCATGGAGTTCAACCGTTCGCCCAGTGTGCCAACCAACCACAGCTAATATCGATGGTCGCCAGTCAGTTGTTAGTGGATGGGGAACAGAGTTCTCAGGTAAACTGAAATTCTACTGTCCTCAGACATACTAGCATGTCGCATCAGATTTTTTTTGAATGAAAACATGTTTTCTGTATTTATGTATCATACAATATGAATCCATAGGTGGTACCGTTACAACAGAACTCCGACACGTACAAAAGACTATTGTCTCCAATGATGAATGCCTCAATTCGTACACAAGTATTTTCGACAGCAGTCTCTGTGCCGGCCTTGATGATGAGGGTGATTCCTGTCAGGTAAACACAGTTGGCAAACAGTTTTTGATAAAATATCATAACATTCATGTTGAATAGGTTATGCACTACATTGCCTGCTTTCTTTATAGGGAGACAGCGGTGGCCCATTGTCCATAAATGAGAATGGCCGATGGCTAGAGGTTGGCGTGGTCTCCTGGGGTCGTGGATGCGCAGTGCCTGGTTACCCTGGTGTTTACGCTAGAGTTTCTTCATACCTACAATGGATCATCGACCAAAATTAATAAACATGAATTGGTTTTGATACAAACAGCTTATTAAAATACATTTTAATTGATTAAACAGAAATGACGTTTACGGGTTTGTGTGTTTTACTTGTTTTGTGTCTGATGGTATGAAGCCACGGACTGCGACTCGCGTAATTCAAAACGAGGTTACAACGCATTATAGCTGAACAATGGCGGTAAGTCCAAACTTAATTTGGAAGGCATGTTAGGATTTGGGGTAGATTATTGGTTTGGATATTCTACACAATAGCTAGTATGTTCCAGTCGGTGATCAACATATTCATACTCCACCTGCAATGGCATTCTTGGTGCTCGGCTGTCCAATAGTTTAGCATGAACACAAATGAATTCGAAATCTGCCACAAAAAATGTAATTTTGTCAATATTTGTCCCTAATATACCGATTTAAACAAAGGAATCAGAAATGACATCGAATTAATATAATTATTCATGTTCTGTTGTTACAATTACATCTTCGTGTGATATTTGGTAAGCGGAAAACGTACAATTACATAGAAAATTGGAATTTATAATAGTCGCAGTCCATCCATCTGCCCAACGCAGTCCGCGACTCAGTGTTGCTTTATATCTGAAGCTGAACGCAATCACAGCCAAAGGTAGATAGCACAATGTGTGTACAGGTGTGGCCGAAATGGAGCAACTTTGGACAAAATTGAATATAAAGGGCTATTTAATAGACCTACATCGTGTCTCAATCCATTCTGCAAATATGTACAAGCTGTCAAATACAGCTGAAATCATGAATTTATGGTAGCTAGCAATATTGATGGACTGTTGGAAAGATCATCCAAAATTACATTAACTCACCAACTCTCCAATTATTTGATATTTTCCTGATATCTTAAATACTAGTTAATGTACCCTTCCCCCAACAGCTTTTATTGCATCATCAAAAAGTTAATTGTTTCGCATTTCTACTTCTTATAAAAAGTCTCACCACTATCCAATTATCTATATATTTAACCCTATCCACAAATTGGTTTGTAATAAACATATTACGTTGTCATCTTGCGCTCGACTGTTCTGCCAAATACGCTATTGAATTGCCATATTTCTAGGTCTTAAACGATACAATATAGCAATTTGGGACATTGATTCAGGTAATAGATATATGTAAATCAACGTAACTTTGAATGATAATCTGGATGCTGACTTTCTTTTCCTGAAACAATAATAGCGTAGGAATATAGTTTACACTATCTTATTTATTTCGTGTTCGCGGCTGGACTGCGTTGCTTATAATATCAATGGAGGCTGTGTTGCGTTGTTGAAATAGCTTTGTTTACTGGACTGCGTCCACTATGAATGCGCAGTTTGAATCTAATTTTCTCCTCATGAACACATTCTATTATCAAATCATTTTCACGAATTATACTCGGAGTCTCAACTAACCTTTAGATATCAGAAACGTGTTAAAACTCCTTTCAAATGTATAGTAAATTAAATAATATGCACATATATTACAGGTAAAATCAGAACTTTGCTACTGTTTTAGCTTGATCTGGACAACTGCTTATTTTCTTATCTACAGACCAACAGTAGATACAGAGTAATATTTTGGTCACCGATTAGACACTACGATAGCATTTAAAATACCTGGATTTCTCTATTTTGTCGGAAGAAGCAGAAGGCACTGCCGGATGTCCCTCCATTTTGGCGCTGGGCTGCGGTGTAAAGTTACGCGAGTCGCAGTCCGTGGCTTCGCCCTCGTTTTGCTTATCCCCCGTGATGAATGGCCCGGATGAATGGCCGGCTCTCTGAGCCTTGTTGTATAACCAAAGGGTGGGCCAAAAAACAATACCAATTTAAAGATAAATGATTCGTATAATATCTCTTAAAGCTTGCCATGTATTATATATCATTTTAAAGATAAATCATTCCCTAACAATATGACACTATCCGATAGAAAAACCTTTGTTTCGTTGTGAAGATAGAGGCTAAAATTGACACTTGGGGTGTCATGAGTGACCAAAAATCAGAAAAATGAAAATTCAAAAATGTACACCCGTATTGCAGTCATAGCTGGTGAATTTTGGACTAAACTTGTATAAATGTACATCTTTTGAAGGTGTCAATGTTCAAATTTCCGTCCATTTTTCACAATTTGAAACTCCGCAGTGAATAATTTTTTGGTCGCTCATGACACCCCTGGTGTCACTTCTAGCCTCTTACTCTTCAATAAAGCAAGAGTTTTTCAATCGGATGGTCTCAAATCGTTAGGAAATTATTTATCTTTAAGATAATATATAATACATGGTATGCGTTAACATTATATCATATGATATTTAGCTTTAAACTTGGGTATTGGTTTTTGGTCTACCCTGTATTATTCTTATTAGTCAAATTGACTTAACAAAAGTAAATATCATATTGAATATAAATCACTTATTACACCAATATATAAAACAAGACATTAACGTACAAAATGTAACCACCTGCCATTTGTTACAGTTGCCGAACGACAACCGCTGACCACTGTCCACAAAAACGTTAAAAACCATAAGAATATGTCATCATTAGTGGTGGTTTCATAAAAACTATTGTAACAGACATACTCTGAGTGAAACTTAGGTAGCATTCGGGAATTCAACTGCCGCCTGATGGCTGATCAACGGTTCTACTCATTTAAATATGAATAGGATGGTGGCAGCTAGTATTCAAACTTATGATCGGACATAAGTATTGTGTGTACTTCAATGTAATATTGATAATTAGTAACATCATGCTTGTGTCCGATCATAAATTCGAATGATAGTTGTATTTCAAATATTAATTGTATGAGTACGAGACCAATGTTAATGCTACCAGGGGGAATCTGACCTGCAGGCCTTACTATTTATACATGTTTTTCTGTTTTGAAAATTTCAATGATTAAAGATTTTTTATCATAGTGGAAAATGCATAGCTGACTGTAAACTACACGGGAAACTACAATGTGCAAATCGATTTAGATAATTTAAAGTTTTGACAGATAGTCAGATAATTTTGAATAGAAAATACTCTGTTAGTAAGGATTTGAGTGTCCCGTTCCTAACATGGCCGTACCGAGGAAGCACCAAGAATGCTAAAAGAGCGCCTCAAGGGGTATGTGATAAGCCCCTAAAAATGTGACTAAATGTGACTTTGGGGTATTTATATGGCAACGCGGTAGCCTGACAGTCGCCCCAGGGTATTTCAACATAAAGGGACTTCCTAGGGGGGTACAGGGGCCAGCCAGGAAAGTTCCTTTTAATTTTAAAATGAGTTGTAAACCATACGGATCTATTTTTAAATGTTAAGGTTTTAAGTTATATTCTATTCAAATTCTATCACTGTTAAATTATATATATGCTTTATATGGACTTATTAGCCTTTTGCAGATTATTGACATTGACATAGACATTTAAAAACGACCAATTAATTTTGAACATTCATCTGACAGTCTGACTGACGAGTGTTTTGAGAGTGACAAAAATAGAAAATTTGTTCTGAATGTAAATATATGCAAGTAAATGTGACTTATTCTAACCAGTAATAAAAAATGGAACATAACAAACCGTTTGTTGCATTGAATTCTTTGACTGACTAAAAAGGAATAAAACTGACTAAATATGACAAGTAAATTTTAAATTTGACAAATGACAATTTTGAAAATTTAAAAGTGACTAAAGTGACCTCACTGCTCCCTCTTGGGGAGCCCTCTAAAGGAAATGGCCTGAAGAAACTGTCTTTAAATACTTGGCTTCGTCAGGCTACTGAGTACTGATCATCATGATAAGCCATGACATCTCAAATCTTCTCAGCCCTGAGATGCCATGATATAATGAGCTTGATTTGGCGATCCAGGAGAGCCCAAAATTGAGGATTTTTGAGATCTTTCATCCCAGCTCATATTTCATCTAATTGGGGTCATAAATCTTGTGTAACTGTGCCTGTTGTAATATCTGCTGTTAAATGCAATGCCTATTATATAATGTATTGACATTAACGTAAATTATTACATGATAACTATCACATTTATTGACAGGATAACTCTTCCCATCTGATGTGCTCAGATCACAGAATATGCCTCATATCAGAGCATGTTTCAGGTGAAACAGAAAGATGCTATGAGTATCAGAATGAGTACTGATGTGCGATAGAAATAATGTTCATAAAGATGGCAGTGTAATCGACGTTTTTATATGCCTTCCCCACGTTCCCACGGGAAATATATAGGGCCTTACTCGAGTCTCTAGCCAATTCTTCACGATATAGTGGCCTTAGAAGAAGGTAGATAGGGTCTCTCGTGAGCTACACTGCTGTAGAGTCATGACATATACAAGGGACGGATCTGAAAACTAGTTAACAAGGGGGGGGGGCAAGTTTCAAGTCTGAAATAACTTCAAAGTGGGGCCCTAAAACCAATAATTGGGCCCAAATTTTGAAAATTAGGATCATTGTCTTGATTGTGCCTAATTTAAAAAAACAAGGCATTAAAGATAGATATATTGACTCAGATCTGGCATAAGCATCTCATATCATTGTACTACAAGTTCCTGTGTGTGGGCAGTGTCTAAAATCATGTTTTCTAAAAATATACGAACGTAAGTTATTCTATATTTTTACATCGTTCGCTGTTTAGGACAATATCCGGGCAATTTATGACGTCATTTTCGTAAACATAAGCAGACAATATTTGTTGAGCGTGGGTCCGTGAGAAATCGATCTCAATAAAAGTTATTTATATTCTCATTGATGATGAAATTAACTATGTCAATGTGATAATTACGGATCTGAACATGTGTTTTACGATTGGTGAGTATGAAATGCAATTCTGCAGATGTTTTAAATTGGAAAGGGGAACGTAAAGGTCAGACATTCAAAAATCAAAATTGAAATTGAAAATCAAGTGAGGCAACATATTTCTATAGGTACAGTACTGATCATGCCTGAAATCACACCGGCACGCGCCTAGGCGCGATCGATCGACACGCCGAGATGTCGTCGGTAGGCTCGCCGATCGGCATGCCTTTCGGCTCACTGAGTGCCCATCGACGCGTCTATCGGCGTTTAATTTGAATTCCCAGTCGGAGGGATCGATCGGCACACACTGTACTGTACTAAACATACCGTGAACAGATCTCCGATCGGCATTGAAACATGTTAACAACGTAAAAACACTTTCATCGGTATGAGTGATAAAATATAATAATAAACAAACTGATGATTAAACTAAATACTTAAATAGGTCTATGTCATTTTTGTTGTTTTCTTCTGCATGTGTTATCGGACATTATTAGGTTATGATTAAAAACGTATAATATTAATATTCATCGTCGAAATGTGTTTTGGAATAAAAAGATTTGATGGTGTTAATTTATTTTTATATTGGAATGTATCCGGGGGCTGGGGGATAGCAAGGGCCAAAATTTGACGAAGTAAGTTTTCAGTCGTATATTTTTTAAAAGAAAATGAACAATTCAGTCTCTCCGCAATCTGTTTTCAAATACGAGTTAAATAAAACAGTATCACGGCTGTGGTCAAAATATTTGTCACCTGCGTGGAGCATGTTATTTTTCATAAAAAACACACAAATTATATAATCTATAACTCATATATTTGTTATACGAAAAAACTACCTTTCGATCACAAAACCAGTGAGTACAATATTGATATTTTCAGATCTGATGCAATGATCGTACACAAATTGTGATTCAAGTCGGTTATTTTAAAAGCAGAAAAGAGATGAGAAATTGTATCAAACATGTCATACTTCCTTACCAATATTATTTTTTAATTGAGGATAAGGGCTCCGCCTAATCTGACTTTGATGGCTCGAAATATGTAAATCTGTAAATCGAGAGCCATGTAGCAGTTAAAAGAGAAAAGCCCATTAGAGTTGAATAAATACATATCAATGAATTATCTGTTCATAGTTTTAATATATTTATTCTAATAGGCTAATTGACACTTAAACATGCATCTAATTAATGCGTTGTGTTTGGGATTCTATTACTAAATACCGTATCTAAAATTGATTATATGAAGTGCACCTGTTATTTTTACATTAAAGATGATCTGTTTTATTAGTCGCAACAAAACTTTTTTAAGTACATGTAGTATATCGTACATCAGTGAAGAAGCTACGGCTACCCGTTTTACGTGCAGTATGGCAATTCTTGAAATACTTGTATTTATTATGAATTACATTATTAGTCCAAAATACACATTTCGTTCAATAAGAAACACATAAAAACGTTCAATACATTATCTAATACGCAGCGATCGGACAAAATGAACGGAGGAGGGAGGTCAGCCCATTTTTGATAGAAAATTCAACAAATCTTCACCAACCCCACCCCCTCCGATCCGTTCATATTTTCCGATCACCAGGTGCGTCTACAGGTGAATAAAAACAACGTATTGCAAAAACCGTATTGTTATATTAAGATCTAGGAGTATTATAAGTGTTCGAACTCGGGATTTCTAAACTGCCACCGGACTACTGACTCTATAAAATACGCTTAACTACTAATTATTGAGCCGTTCAGTGAACCAGATTTGGAATCAATAGTTGTAGTCTGTGATAAAATGAACTTGATACATGTTACTTAAATTTCTATCAACTCATTTTTATGATCAGAGATGGTCAAACGCTATATTCTATTGACAACGTAACATTCATTTGTCATCGTGACGTGCAGGTCATGACAACCATCAACATGCAATGGTGTATGTTTACAAAAAACTTGAAACCAGGAGTTTTATTTAGACGGGATTTCCCCTTTTTATGTCTCCAACTTTTTTGTGTACGGTGTTTAGCGTCTGGGGTCGGCGTTCAGCGTCTGTAACAAATGGCGGGTGGTGACATTTTTCATGTTTATGCCTTGTTTAATATTTAAGGCTCTAAATGAAATATAATATATATCTGATATCATCATGATGTTATTCTTATTATATTATTCTGTTTTCCAGGTGCCAATGAGTATGACACACAAGCAGTGACAATTGAGATTTCAAGTCCAGTTTGAAGAACAATACGCCGTTCTTCCAAGTTATAGCCCAGGGAGTTCAAGTTTATGCATCTTGCCTCAAGTAAAGTGTTAGCCCTTAAAGACAGGACCGTAGCCAGGGAGTGGCCGGGGGTCGGAGTTTTCACCATTTTGAGCAATTTTCAAATGATTTTGGTCATTTTTTGGTCAGATTTGTCAAAAGTGAACCCCTTGGAATTTCTTTAAAAGTGAACTCACTCTCTTGATACATCCTGACAGTGGGCCTGAAAGGTTTATCCCATATTGTATTGGGGAAATGGCACAGTTGCTTGATGCAAGAGTAAAACTTTGAAATAACCATAGATAATATTACAATAGATAAAAGTTTAGCATGCATTATTTTTTTCGTTTAATTATTAAATTTGAGAGCAGGTAGACGTACACAGCAGTGCAGTGAATTATGTTTGTATTTTAAGAAGTTGTTTTCAGGTGTTACCAGCGATGATTGCAGGCATGAATACACTTTAAATATATTTCCTAACATATTCCTTCAGTAAATACACCCGTTTGCATGTTTTAAATAAGCCGTAAATAAAATGTTTAAACTTTGTTAGCATGGTCTATAAACTACAACGACCGTCAACCTTTTTAAGTTTTGATTTGTTTTGTTGAAATTAGATTAAGAAATTAGTCTTTCAAATGTCACCAGTGTCTTTAGGGTTGAGGTTTCACGTCGGTTTAAATTAGAATAATTCTTTACTATCTGGTTTTGTTTGCTTCATTGTGAAATGTTCATCGAATTGTTATTTTTCGAATCATTTCTATTTCGTTACATAAGTTATTTGGAATAAACTTAATTTCAGCTAAAATGCAGGGAAGTGCATGGCTGTTTTTGAAACTTCAAAATTTTATTTTGACGTTTTGTTGCTTATCACCGTATTAATTATGTTTTATGTTTGTTTATTTGTTTTTATTTCTTATACAAGTACAAGTAAGTCAGGGGCGGATCTGGGAACCAACAAGGGGGGAGGGCCCAAATTTGAGGTCAGAGAAAAAAACGTCCGCGCTTGCGCGTAAAAAAATTTTGGGCCCCTAAAAGGCAAAAGTGGGCCCAAATTTTGAGGCCCATTTTCTTCAAAATTTGGCCTGAATTTAAAAAATAAGGCCTTTAAAGGCCCAGTAATGACCAAAAAGGCCGACTTTTTGGGGCCTTAAGGCCTTTTTTGGGCCCAGTTTTTTTTCTGGGCCCACCAAAGGGGGCCCGGGCCCCCAGCCCCCCCCCCCCTAATCCGCCAGTGTATGTTATACATTGCAAGTCACACCCGTAGCAAACCCTGCATTGCCTTACAAAGTTTACATGAGCAGTTTCGAGAAACATTAGAATATGGGAGGGGTTCAAGAAGAGACCCGGTGTAAAAGGGTAGGAGGTCCAGACAGTATCTGTTGGAATGTTACATATTTCCCTATCCAACATATGCCGGATAGGCGTATGCATGAGTGGAGGGTTGGAGAAATAGGGCCTCGTGAGAGATACATGTTCTTGACAGTCAGTAATTGTTTACACCCCCCCCCCTTCCTTGAAATGCTTTTTGTTCATTGAAACAATACGAAATCAAAATTGACTAGTTTCCTAATTACAATAAAAACAAACGGCTGATTAGAAGATTACAGTGACTGTTTCCCGTCATTACATAACAATGTTGATGGTGGGCAAAGGAAATCGAGTCTGTATTGATCTAGTTAATAAGCATGATACGTGATTATAAACGTAGAGTAAAGGAAATGACAGGAAATTTTTTAGAATTCTCATTGTAATCCGAACTATGTGAATTTATACCATTCGCTCAGACATGGGCTAAAATTTTGATTCTTTTCAGCCTATTTCTATTCTATCCAACAGCATTAAATGATCAAACTCAATTAATTAGTAAAACTTCAATAAGGGATCACGTAAATTTCGATACAGCGGTAAATGAAAGTTTTATGCTTATTATGCGGGAACTATGAAATATTAGATTTAATTACCTAGGTACCGTATTCGGGGGGACATTTTATCCTTTTTAGATTTTATATCGATTTTGACATTTTTGCCCTCTGGCTATGAAATATGTCTCTGATATGTATGTATTTCCCGAGAGAAAATGGGACATTTGCGGGGCCTGATGCAAGACTAGTTATCTGTTTTCCTGGCTTGTTTGAAATGGATAAACTTTGCACTTTGTCGTATGTTTCAATGAAGCCCATGTGGGAATGACAGCCTGTAGACCTAGAAATCCATATTTATATACTATAGATCGAGATAGAATAGTAATACAAAATATAGTATCCCAATTTCCAGTATCACACTAGACACCAACTTTAAAATACTAGTAACAGATTTAGAATTCCTATTTTAAAATCAAGAGTCAGTTTAATCAGGAATTATAAATTCATTGATAAAATGCGATCGAGATAGACTGGTGGACAGGATGAGCTAGGATGCAATCAGGAAGGCGCTTAGTTGTTTATATTAATTATTGGGTCTTATAACACCTTAGTATAGTATACCCCTCCCTCCCAAATCACAACTTCGCAACCACCGTCAATTTTATAATCAAATCCCTATCCCTCAGTCACTAATGCAAATACATGAATAAATATAATTGGAGTGAATTGCATGCGTTTCGAATGAAGTTATCTTTGTAGTACTAGTATTAATTTGTTCAAACAAGTTTACAGAAGATAAATGAAAGGGGACAAAGGGAAACACAGGGGCGTAGCCAACTTTCAGTCAGGGGGGATGCGATTGCCCCTTAAACATTCGGTTTTCAGTCAGAATGGGGTGGGGGTGCGATTAGCAAGCCAAAATATTTTTTTAAGATATGTTTTGAATTTTACAAAAATCAATGCAATTTCCTTCAAAATTGAGCTAGAAACTTCACCTTTACTTCACAATAAAAAGCATATTTTAAAGCTCATTTCTTCTTCCATCTCATGGTTATATTTTCATTAGTGATGGGGGAGGGGGTTTGGTCGCTAGGCCTATGAAAACATTTCAACCTGCCAACCTTACGGTGGGAGCAAGTATACATCAATTTGCTTATAATATCAATACAGATAAATGGTCGAAACTGGAAGCGTAATTGATAAAGCACAGCAAAGTATTTAGCTTAGGCTTATTAAAATAATGAACGTTCTATCTACAATCATGTTGTATAAACATCTGTACATGTAGTCTCAGGCCCGTAGCCAAGAGGGGGGGGGGGTTGAGTAAATGCGAGCAACCAAAAGTTCTTTCAAAATCATGCCCTTCTTTGTCTTGTGATCTTCAAGTAATTTGGGACAACATGTGACACTCCTTTTTTAAAAAGCGAACTAACCCCTTGCCAAAAGCTGGCTACGGGCCCGCCTGTAACATCCCCTACAAAAGTTTGTTCCCGTCTTGTAAGTAATAATAAATCAAAACAAAGCTTTTTTTAAATTATGAATGTAAACACTTATCAATATGTATGCAACATGCAAAACCATAAACTGAATACATTTAAAGATTAGACTGCAGCTTCTTGAAAAGAAAGCAGAACGTGTCATCACCGCCAACATAGAGAGCAACGTGTACATGTACTAATTATAAGTATCTGAAAGATAACGCAAAAAAACTTAATTATTAACTTTCAAGTCTTAACAATTTAACATGTAACTGTAACATGTAACTGTAACATAACATATATATCGCCCCGAGGGGTCATTTAGCTTGATGAATAACCCCTCTGGTATTAGAGAGGTTTCGCACAATGGATTTACCTCAACTCGTTTTAGTTTGAACTAGCTGCTCATTAAAATGTACCCTACGCGCAGAGCCTAGAAATAAACTACAGAAGATGAAGCTCTCTTTTAATTAAGAAGTGAAGTCGAACGAATGCAGAGGGTAATAAATCTGGTGAACACAACACGTTGAGCTAAAAACTTGCGAAACCTCTCTATAAACGCATTGTTGAACGCAAATGATCATGTGGATTCACTTAAATTCTGAATTATATTCAACTGTTCCTGTAAACTTCAACGAATGCATTTAATCCCATGATGCGTTTCACTCCTATCTGGAGTCTGGGCCCGAGTCTGGGAGTGCAGACTTGCACCCCGGGACTTGCACCAACCCTTGCCCCTCTTCCACCCCGTGTCATCCTTGAGGTCCATGCATAGCCAAACACTCCACATGCCTGTATCACCCCGTTAATGGAAACAACCTGTAAAAAATGAATATCATATTAAGCAAATGCCTTTTATGGCCAGGTAACCGAGACATCAAAGTGATATTGAGTAAATTTCCTCCAACTCAAAACGTAATTATATAGATATAAATAACTCTCTTCATAAAATCTAACGTTCACAATCCTTATCTAAATTGTGTATGGAACAAAACCAGAAGTCTGTTATATTATATTAGTCTACAAAATGTCCGATGACTTAACTGTATGGAATTTTGAAATATAAACATTTTATTGTAGATATATAACAAAAACACATCAACATAGAAAAATTCAATACAGTTATATTGTAACAATATTCATATTATATTAATTAGAGGGACCAAACACATTCGCTATTGCTAAGGTTTCTACGACTTTAACTGTCTTATCAGCATCTTGATCCATCAAGGTATTACAATATTGTATGACTGAAGGAATACACTGGTATGCTATGTCAGAGCATGAAATTACAATTACACTGTGCTTAATAGGCGGCTTCATACTCCTTACGTCTCAAAATCTCTTAATTTTCAAATGGGAGTATATCATTTTCGTGAGCAGGATTTGGCGGGACAATACGATTTTCTATCAAAATCAAAAATATTCCAAGGTGTTATTCATCGGGAAGTAGTATCATAAGATTTTAGATATATCATTGCATCCCACGACCGGTTTGATTATCAATACGCAATCAGTCTGGTACTGGTCAAGTGAGTAATAAATAACAGACGCTAATAAGACACAGGATGCAATCAGGTTAATTATCGTCTTTTATTGTCTTAAGTCTCAGCGTACCTTGTAAGATAATCATTCCCGTTTGATTTTGTTTGAATCGAAATTAATTTTATTCCTTACAATAGTTAAGAAATTTTGTTGATCATGTTGGCTCCAAGCAACAATTTTAAATCGTCGTTCTGTAAGACTGTGAAACACTAAATTATTTCGTGTTTTTATTATCTTAACGTAGCGTATATTAATACTTGTTTGCTGAATGAGACCCGCGGAATGAGATTAATTTCAATATGATTCGCACAATGATAAGACTTTCATCACAGGCTTCAATGACTGCCCATCATTGGCATCATACTGTTTTTCAATAATTCCTTTATTATAATAATTGTTGAAGGTACGAAATACAACACGATCATTTTAATCATGGAAATTCGTCCTTTGCTAAATCATGTCAAGTTGAAATAATGTCCGATGGGAGGCTTTTAGAAGGGTTGTACCAAGCAATGTTTAGTTTTGATTGACAGTTCCAACGACTACGCCGATGGACAGTCTTGATAGGTGCTGATGGGAATGCAGTTTCGGCGAGACAAGGGGAATAAAAACAAATATTTTGAACTTGCTTTCTCTTGAGCTTTCGAAATTGTACCCTCTCCCCACTTGGCAAAATCTGTCTCGATAAATATTCTTTTTACTCAAACTTACTCAAACAAATGAATTGTCCACTTTTCAATGTACATGAACATCTTTTTAGTCGTAGAATCCCATCAATATCTAGCCAGTTTATTTAATTCAGTTACCCCGTGCGACGACATAGATTGTAAAAAATATTTAAATCCGTGGGACGTTAATAGCGATATATTACATTAAACTGTGTGGATTAATGTCCCCGGGTTAATGTCTCACGAATTTTAAATGTAAATCGAAATATTATCGTCTTGGCGATGAGCAATGTAATGTGTTGATACACGTAATTCTCACGACGAAGTCGATGGATAGTGCCGATGGGAATGCGGTTCCGATGACTGTGTCGATCGGTAGTACTTTGCTGTGCCGATGGCAAGGCCCATCGGCGTGCCGACCTGTGCCTATCGACGTGCCGATCGGCCTGCCGACTACGCGCCTATCGACTCGCCGATTGGAGCATGCCGATGTGATCTTAGGCATGATGTGTACTGTATAGGCTAGTGAATTGAATCTGAAAAAAAGCTTCCGTAGTTTACCCCAAAATATGCGTAGGACAAGACCCCCCCCCCCGACAAGACTTCATGTAGGCAAGGTTCAAATTTGACAATTTTGGCCCTGAAATCACTTGGAAAAGTACATATCAAACATGGTGAAAAACTTCCTGATTTCGAAAGAAATGTTTGCCAGGGGGAATGGGGGGGGACCCCGAAATAATGGCCACAGGTTGCTCTACCGAGCTGACAGAAGGGTTTCAGCAGTCCGCGATCAGCCTCTGTAACAAATGGCAGATGGTGACATTTGTTGGACTAGGATTATTGAAGTCTGTAACAAATGGTTACACTTTTGTAATCGCCACCAGATTGTGACATTTTGGCTTTTGAGCCAGCTGTGTTCAGTAACGCACGCCCCATTTTTAATCAGAAATTTAGACTTTTTGGATACCTATCAACCTCCTGTAGATTTAATGTCTTTTTTATTTTCAGATTAATCACAAAAACTCGGAACAGTCATGGTGGATTATGACTGTTTTCATACTACTTCCAAATTCTGAAGATACTCCATTATACCTACATTATGGTGAATTATAAGTTAAAGATCAAACGATGGATTGATACTCAAGCTGATATTGTTGACCAGTTACAAGCTCCTGACAGACACAACACTACAATAACAATTCCACATGGGTTGCAGGTACAGCTTGACCTATATTTTATGTCACCACTTACGCACTTACCACCACAAGTGTTGACATATTGTTATAGTCTCACAAATTTTTAGTACATGGTCGGTTTTGGCATCTGTAACAAATGGCAGGTATTGATAGATGTTCTCACCAATTGTTTCTCTGTAAAAGCAAAATCAAATCTTAAACCAATTACTATACGTATCTCATGTTACATAAAATGAAAATCAGTTTTTCATATATACACAGGTACATGTACTATGTCTTGCATACTCTGATAGCATGATGATGACATATTGACTATGCAATATACAGGTATAAAACTAATTTTATATTGACTAAAATGTGTAATATGTGTAACCATGGACCTTTGAGAGACAGTAAGTTATAAAACATATTTCCTAATTTCCTAATTAAAGGAGTGGTATCGATATGGAGAACTGAATTCAACAATGTTTTTCTCTTAAACCAATCATTGAAAACATTCTGTAAAAAAACACAGTATTTTATGTAATGTTGACTGATTGACAACAATTTAATGCAAAAATTATTTAGAAATATTTTATATAACTGTTTTTGTTAACATTTTTTGTTTTTTTAGTGCAATTGTTTTTGCTCCTTTCTACCAATTCTTGAGATTGAAATAAAATGTCTTTCTGAACTTTGTTGGAACAAAATAGCATATACAACATGTTTTTAGACCTCTTAATATTACGGTTAATCAAAGGAATTTTTAGTTGATTTTAAAAAAGTATTCAAAATAATAAAACAAAATCCCCCCAAAATAGATAAAAATCAAGACAAACCTTTTATTTCATTAAGAAGATACTTTTTTAAAATCAACTAAAATTTCCTTCTGTACAATTAAAATATTGAGAGACCTAAACATGTTGTGTTTATGTTGTTTTGTTCCAATGAGGTTCGGAAAGATGTTTCATTTCACTCTGAAAACATGATACCAAGAACAAAACAAGTGTTTGATGTGTTTTCTAAAACAATATTAGATGAAAGTATATATATATTTTTCAAATTATACTGTCACCATTCAAAAGATGACCATTAAATTGATGATGTGTTAAATTTTTCGATACCACTCCTTCCTGTTGTAGAAAAATAAAAGTGCAAAATGTTATTTTAAAAAACTATTGATTGTGATAAGTTCAGCCAAGCAACAATTTCTAAACAAATACCAGTTCATAGTTACCAAATGACAATTTATACACAGGTTTTAATAAATTATAGTTACTTGTATACATGTATTATCATTGTTTCAACAGACTTTCAATAAGGCAATACAACTACAAACACTGTGTATCATATATCCCATGAGTTATATAGAGAGGTGTTTGTCAAGATAAAATCAATGGCAAAATCCCATGTTTTACTATTCATTATTTCTTGTTCAGTTTATATTATTTGGTTGGTAATACATTCCATTCGTTGATATTCATTTTTACCTTAATTTACAAGATTTTGTTTTTTTCTTCAGATATATGTATGTGTGCCTATGTTTTAGCCATTTGAAAATTTTCTGTAATTAATGTATGGAATGAGTATATAGATTGGAGTGGTCAAATGCAGCTTAAAAGAGCACAAAAATCTACTATAATTGAAACTTTCTAAAGCATCTTGATTTTTGCTCAGACCACTTCATAAAATAAAATTATCTCCATTCTTCTTAAATGTTGAGATTTACAAATTTTCGATGTATTCATACATCTTCATCAGGTAAACTGATTTTCATACAATTAGTACATCACAATATGTTAATAAGTGTTAAAAACAAAACAAAATGTTGAGATTTACAAATTTTCGAAGTAACAAAATTACATCGAAAATGTGTAAATCTCAACATATTGTTTTGTTTTTAACACTTATTAACATATTACATCCGTTCTTCTTGATAATTGTATTGACGTGGCATTGTACTAAAAAACAAATAAAGTTCAGTTTTACTTTTCAACAGAATCAGTGAATATTTATTTTGTTATCTAGAAGTCTACTTGAAAGAATCGGGAGATAATTGAACTTTATTGTGTCTATTGAAAATGCTACAGGGATCTCTTGATCTCATGATCTTTAACTGGTTTGGTTTAACAAATTATGTTGTACAAATCAGCATACATTTTGTACATGTCTGTATTTTCATGTACACTAGTACAACTGGGTTTGTAATATCAACATGTTGTTTAGAATATAACAGTACGGATTTTTAAGGAAATATAAAAACAACAGCAAACAATCAAAGCAACATAATCTAGGATGAAGAAAAAAGAAACAAGTTCACATTAATCTTGTTAAGAAGAAATATCAAAAAAAAATTGTGCATTAGACAAATTCTACATCAAATAATGATCTGGATTTTATGCCTCTAAGCAAAATTAATATATCCTGGTAACTAGTGCCACAAAATTCTAATGCAAAGTTTAACAATCCAACTAGCAATTATTTAATCCCAGATTATCCTATTACTATTACTATTTAAGAGATTGACAGATGAAAGGTTAATTCTTAAAGCATTGATGTATTTCATTATCAAGGTTTAACTGGATAATATACCTGAGTGAATTAACTTGCTATAGAAGCTATTTAAAGTCCTTGTTATTTATGTTGTTAAGAACAGTATACAAGTATAGAACATGTAGTACTGCTTGTAAAATCTGTTTTCCCAATAAACAAAAATTGATGTTATTTTTTATTACTTGCAAGTTGCAGTTTCAAAGAAATATTTAAAGCGATTATCAGAATTGGATTCATTTGATCATTCCGAGATCCTACGATTTGGTGTCATGAAATAAATTATTTGAAACCTTATACTCTAATTAAGTTCACAGTACATGACTCTCTAAGATTTTATTTGAAAAAGTTAAGATTATAAAAAACTTTGTAAAGAATTAATTAAATGAATTCTGTGATAATTTTGTGCCAAATTGGAAAAGGTTCAGCAAATGTTTATACATGTAGTATTGTCATCATTTGCATGAAGAAATATACAACATCCTTATTATTGCAGTACAACCATAATGGCACAATATTAGTAGCCAATATTTAAAATTTTTCACTTTTTCCAAAAAATCGTTGACTTTCTCAAATGCCAATTTCATGTATTTTCATTGCTATGAACCATATTTTCTCCATTTTCTCTCTTTTCTTGAATAGATGTTTAGATTATTTAATAACCGTCATTCTTTATATTCCAGCCTGCGAATACCCTTCGCCATAATGATCTCATAAAATGTCACACATACTATTGTGGTGCAGATGAAGATATATTTGTGACGCATCATGGATCAGGGCCATCTAATCAGGTGTCAGCCTGGCACGTTAATCCTGTTACGAAGGAGGCTAAAGTTGAGCACTTCGATGTCAGACCCAACATAACTGTCTTGATATATATCACCAAATTAAAGGTAGGTCATGTAGTTTGATCAAGATACTAAATTGTTTGATATTTCATAGTTGTTATATTATAATGTTCACTTCTTCACATTTATTACATATTAAGTGAAACTTTAATATAAACTAGTTATATAACGAAGGCAAGGAGTATATTCCAAGTTATCATATTTAGAAAAATGCATTCATCTGTTATTGCATTATAGAATTCTTTAATAAATTATATTAATTATAATACATTTTCTGATTTTCAGGTGTTTGTTGGTTTCTGCTCAGATCTGACTATACGAGTGTTTGATAGCTTAAAAAGGGATTTCTCAGAGATATCAATAACTCTCTGCCGCAACTCAATATTGAGGTACTTTTCTAATTTTTTGTGACTTAGGGGAATACTTGATTATTTTTTCAATTTTATGACTGTAATTATGTCACCACCAAAAGTGGTGACATATTGTTATGGTCTCCTTTTTTATGATGGCAGTTCATGGTTGTTTTTTTTCAAAATCATCTACAAGTTTTCAGAAGTTCAAATCTGACTTTATATTTAAGATTTGACCTTCAATAACCTTCTCAAGGTCAAAAAAGGATAAAAGACCTCAAAAAGGTATTTTTTCAACTTGCTTCAAGTTGATCACTTTTTTTAAAAATCATATACAAGCTCTCAGAAGTCGAAATCTGACTTTAGATTTGAGATTTGACCTTCGCTGACCTTCTCAAGGTCAAAAAGGTTAAAAATGTATTTTTCAACTTGCTTCAAATTGACCATTTTTTTCAAAATCATCTACAAGTTCTCAAAAGTTCAAATTTGACTATAGATTTGAGATTTCACCTTCAATGACCTTCTCAGTTTCAAAAAGGTCTTTTTCAACTTGCTTCAAATAGGGTCCATTTATGGTAACTTTTTTTCTGATTTGAATTCCCTTCCAAAATTCAAAACTTTATTTACTTTCATAAAACAATGACCCCAAATCAGAAAACCTTTTACTTGTTCAAGTACCCTTTGTACTTTCAACTTTAGAAGAGAACCTTAATTACTACTCTAGCCTGTATTTGTTTTAAGCCAATGAAAAATAATGTACAACTTTATGATCATCATGTATAACAAACATCTACATGAAAGCTTCACGATTCTTTGTTTTGTCATCGTCATAACAATGACAAGTAGATACATTTCTTATCTTGTGAATTCCATAATAGACAAGTGTCATATCATATCATTACACTTGAAGTTTAATTTAGACTTTCTGTTATATAGTGATCCTGAGCATTAAATAAACAATGCCATCCATTAAAATATTTATCACTAACATGCACATGACCTTTATTGATGTGCCACGCCCACTCTCAAGTATAGTTGTGAGGAACTTTGAATCTGCCCTACATTTGTGGTGACATATTGTGGGTTTGTGCTCAGTGTTTGGTGGTTGATGTTTGGTGTCTGCAACAGCATCTTGTGGTCGGTGTCTGTAATAAATGGAAGTTGGTGACATTTTGCGTTTTATTTTCCTTGTTTTTCATTAGTCTATAATTTTTGGCATTAGCTTAATGCACCTACTTCTTCCCAAGTCAATTCTTACATTCTTTCTTCATTTTCCCTATGTCACAGAAGTTCATTCTCATATTGCAGAGGTGTTAGGGCAGTAGCCAGCTTTTGCCAAGGGGGGGGGATATGGGCCTATGTGTTCACTTTACTTTGAGTACAAAAGTATTTTCAAGGGGGGAGGGCTGATAATGCGGGGATTATCTATAATACTAAGACATCATAAAACCTACTTCGAGTAGTAATCAAAATTCTATATTTTTATAATTTCTGGTCAAGATCGTGTAGAAAGAATCATTATTTGATTCAAAGTGATAGGAAACATTGATATTGTTAGCTCACATGGTGAGCTGTTTTTATTGCCTACTTGTCTGTTCATCCGTCCGTCCATCTGTCTGTCTGTCAACACATTGGCCACTAATTTAAAATCCTTCATGACAATTTGAATGGTTTCACAGTTAAAATGTGTCTGTATAAGGTCGTCAATTATTCCATAATTGCTGTCTCAAAAGTTCGCCTTGTTTCAAAATAGCGGCCATTCTTATGGCGTAATTTGCTTGCTTGTGGGCCCAGAAAAAACTTAGTTTTTGGGCCCCAAAATTTTGTAGGGCCTCAAAACAATGGGCATTTTTTGCATAATTTGGCCTTCATAGGCCTTTTTTGGGCCAATTTATCAAAAATTTTCTGTGACTGGCGCTTGTTACGGTTGGTTGGCATCTGTAGAAAATTGTTACACATTTCTAACCATTTACAGCTAGACTAGACATATCTGTATTTGTCACATTCTCCTTTGTTTCAGTTTGGCTTACAACAGAGACACTGAGGAATTGTATGCTGCAGGTGTAGGATGTCTTCTAAGATACAAACTTGGCCCCAAACAGGTAACAGAATTTATACTGTGCAGTACTTAAACATATCATGAGTTATTGTCATATTCACTGGATATTTATGTGAATAATATTTTTATTAGTGTTATTTCATACTTGATGTTTGTTAAAACCTTAACTGACATAATGCAAATAACTGTGCTTACATTTTCAATGCTGCATAAAATTGTTTATTATTGGTAATCATAATCCTTCCCTACTCAGTGATCTCCCTGTTTTTTTGTCATAAGGGTTTCATATCCTATTTAAGTCAAGATATCTCATATATATCATTTGGACTGGGTGTTAACAGATTTTCAACAGAGTGACTTGTAATTTCTACAGGGTGACTTGTTATTTCTTCAGGGTGACTTGTAATTTCTACAGGGTGACTTGTAATTTCTACAGGGTGACTTGTTATTTCTTCAGGATGACTTGTTATTTCTTCAGGGTGACTTGTAATTTTAACAGGGTGGGGCACCCAGTTGTTCTATATTGGGGAGAACATTGCAACAACATATCAAACAAAAAATAAATATTATGGCTGCAATTTGGATATATATTTTAGGCGAGAGACAAGTTGGCTTTAAATGGCAAGTTTGAGTTAACATTAACTCGGGACCAATGGGTGACAATGATGATGGTGGACAATAAACATAAACGTTTGCTTGCGTTGACGGATGATGCAGTTTTTGTCTTCAATTACATGGTAATTTTTTATTTATTTATTTTGTCTCCAATTGTATGCATGTTAGCACTGTATTGAGAAATGTGCTCTTGTTATCCAATATAATCATACCATGTGATATAGATAACAAATTATTTATTGAGTTGCACTTTTATTGGCATTTTGTGAACATGTTAAAAAACACAGAATGTACATTTTACTGTACATCTGTATGTTAGTATTTAATAAGTATCCCTCTTAGGTTGATTTATGAAAATATGTTTGTTTTTCAGACTGGGGCTTTAACCCATCACCTTATGAACAGGCACAACCATTCATTGACCAGGTATGTATATACATGTACATGTACCATATGCATTAACTTACATGCATAGCAGATATGAACCACTGAACTTCAAAGTACCTTTCTGAAAATTTGCACTTAAAGGTTTTTTATTAAAGTTCTTACATTTTTAAGAGTGAAGAAACAGTGAAATGCGAGGAGCGGACAATGAACTCTTGTCATCTGTTTAAAAGATATTTTTTTGTTACATCCTTTCATTGTTGAAATATCTTTTAAAGATCATTTTCGATCCACTAGAGCCATGCTATTGCTGTAAAGTATAGGTTAGTCAGAGAAATAAATGCATATCTAGAAAGTCAAGCTGATTTCGAGAAATGAATTGTTTGTTTCGTCTTTGTTACAGTGACAGAAAAACGAATAAATAAAACTGGTCTGTTATTTAGAAGGTAGTTACAGAGATTTATTTCGAATAAGATATTATATTCACCCGTCTCGAATCCAATTGTTTTATATTGTTAGATGTTGCTATGCAGGTAAAAGCGAATTCTGATTTCTCATTATTTATTCATCGTTGGAAGTCCTGATATAATGCATTAATTATGAGTTTTTCATGTTAAGGTAAAAGATTTCCTGTGGGAATTTTATGTTTTTGTTGCTATTTCTGAATCTTTGTCTGTACTAGGCTTGAACCGTAAGAATAGGATATGAAATTCCAATTGATTCAATGGTCTTTGTCTCATAAGCTTCTTCGCATGCAATATCTCCACTTTGAAATATCTAAAAACTATAAAATGGAACACTTTACAAAGGGACCTCTTGTATGCTTTTTCATCTAAGTAGAACCAATGTGAACATCTCTATGTGAAAACTACTAAATGTGAACATTAAAATACATATTCCATTAATCATTGAACCTACATTCATTTCTTAATGAACTTCTTAGGCCAGTATTTAAATTCAACTTTTTGGACATGTGCTTAATTTTTTTGATGGATCAGTGGTAAAAGGCATTTAACATACTCATTTTGATTAACTAGGACATTTTATATCTCCTGATGATGAATGGATAATTTATTGCATATGCCTTTCAGTTGCTGTTTCTACAAACCATTTGACTATTTCATCACTGCTGCAAGGGATGGCTCTCTCAAAGTATGGAATGCACTCGTCTTCGCACAGATGTTTGAGTTCATGGGACACTACGAGGCCATTACAGGTATGTAGATGTATATTTTCATGTCACCACCACAAGCGGTAACATATTTTTATGGTCTCTTTTTCTTGGACTGTGTTCAGCTTTTGATGGTTGGTGTTCAGTGTTCGGTGCCATTTGGCATCAGTAACAAATGGTAGGTGGTGATATTTTACATGTTAATGCCTTGTTTTACAGAAAGTGAATTCCTTCATAAAACGTTTTATCGATCGAGTAGTTCTGTATGTGAAGTGTATTTTTGCTCTTTGATTTTTTGGTCAACAGAAATGAATAAATATCATTGAAAACTTGTAAATCTCAAGGAAAATAGAAATATGGAACAAATATATGAAATATTCTTGGGAGATTTTAAAATTATTCTCTTTTATTTAGATTTTTCAGAGAGTGTAAAGATATCAGCTATTAATATTATATGTGGAATGTGGAAATAGATAATAAAAAGGTTTATCCTAAATAGAAAGATGGCGCTAAAATTTATCATTGTTTCCTGAATGAATAACCCAGATGCGAGTAGAAATAATCTTGATTTACGTCATTAAAAATTCAAAATTCAGTCAAAGTAATATCATATTTGAAATCTACATGTAAAATTACATCTAGAAATGTGGTTTTAAAAAGTGTTTATCAACTTTGAAAAATTAATTTTCTTTGAAAATGTGACTTCTAGCTCGGGGAGATTCCCCATAAACCCCATGCTATAAAATCACAAAAAACGAAATATCTTTTCTTTTAGTGGACAGATAATATTTTGCTTTACTGGACATATTTTCATTAATATAAGTATCAGGCACATAAGGGTTATATTAAAATTGAGCCACTTAAATTGATAATATTTAAGTTTAAGGGAACTTTCTAATATACCTGCCATGTTAATTGACCCGAATCAGCCACCTGGTGGTGAAACTGGTAACTACCTACTCGCATTTGGGTAATTCTGCCATATCATTTTAAAGGGCTGACTCAGATATCAATAGGTCATGATATTATACTGATATTGTGTTAGTTGGGATTCAATGCCAAGTTTTGGAATACAGTGTAGATGCATATTAGTGAATGATGATGTATTTTTAATGTAAAAATAGTATAAGCAATCAGAGGGACTGGAGGCTCATTGAGGATTCATAAAATCAGTTTCATAAAAATATGCATTCATCCTGCCTATTATCTTCTAGTTTCATCTTACATCTTAAATAAAACCCGTTAATTTTCAAAACAAATATTGATGAATGAATAAAGTGACTTTTCCAAGTGATACCCTCTCCAAATGAGATTGCAGTGGATGTTGCCCACCTATTCACTTTATTGTTTTACTGATCAGAGGGCAACGTGTATCTAATCAATCAACCCACTAGCATCAGCGAATATATATATTATTACTAATTACATTGTCGGACGTTTACTTCCCTTTATTTCTTTGTCCGCTAATTGTTGTTAAAAGCTCTTAAGGGCAGTGTAAAAAAGCAATTTGCAAAGTGCTATTAGTCAATTCTATTTTTTTGCAGAGGGGGAATAAAACACCCACTTTCAGTTAAGCTGAAAAACAGAGAAATTTAATCAGATAATAATGTTACTACATAAATGTTATTTCAATATATAGACTAAGCTTTAATAATCTTTGATATTAAAAATTCTTGCCCTTAAGTTACATTAACATTATGGCCTTGCCCCTAAGAGAAAATGATTTGATATAACAAGTCACTATTTAATTTTTCGGATTTGCTCAGGTATGTATTTATGGATAAAAGTACTTTTTGTTTCTTTTCTCATAAACATGGATCATGAAATTTGTCCCAATTAAGACACTAATATGCATATGATTTGTCTTGGGAAATTCCATTCCATTTATAGATTATTTACTGAATCCATTCTGTAAATTAACCATGCAATTAACACTTCTTTGCATAGATTTGTCTTGGGAAATTTCTTTTCATTGATAAAATGGTCATATTTTATTGACTTATTCCTTAGAGGCCCATTTAGATAAACTAATTACCTTTATGGGCCTGGTCCTTTTGCCAAGGCCATCTTGAAAATTCCTTCTTTAGCAGAGCTTGTTATCCCTAGGCATCAACATATAAACTGTAAACCATATCCGTAAATTAGCATTTGACTTATCAAAGATTACACTTTTTTATGAAAAATGGCAGCCATTTTGAAATTCAGCAACCATTTGGAAATTTTTCTCGAACAGAGCTACTGTGTCCCTAGGCATCAGCATATAAAATTTGAACAAAATCCATTCACTACTATTTGAGTTATCAAAGATTACATTTTTTATGAATGGTGGCCCTTTTAAAATTCAGCTGCCATCTTGAAAATTCTTTGTCAAACAGAGGTATTGTGTCTCAAGGCATCATCATCTAAAATTTGATCCAAATCCGTTCACTGGTATTTGCGTTATCCCAAATTTCTTTTTTTTATGAAAAATGGTTACCAAAATCTATTCTTCAGTGTATTTTCTTTGTCCCTAGGCATATAAAATTTGAACCAATCTGTCAACTAGTATTTGAGTTATCAAAGATTAGGTTTTTTATGAAAAAATGGGGGCCGGTTTAAAGTTCTATGTTGTGAAAAGTTGCATAATGGGTTGTTAGTTAATGCCATGGCAATAAATATTCAAAGCAAAAAGGAATAAAGAAAAATTGCCATGGGAAGTTAGCTCTTTAAACTACAAGATAAACATAGAACAGTTTCATTATATGCCACATTTTGCAAATTTCATACAGAGAGAAAGTGCTTCAAAATGGTGGCAATCAACATATGGTTTATTGTGAAAGTTAAACATAATTAAAAAGATTTACATGGAAATATTTCTTCAAAATTGTTTTGCACCTTTGAAAATTACATACTAATGTGTCATGCTTTGACACTTTTGTCAATAAAAGAAATATATATGCACACCATGGCGTCAGATTTAAAAGAACATTTTAAAAGTATTCCTGATTTTTTTATATACAGGGTGGGCCAAAAAAAACGCCACTTTTTTTTCAAGACACTATAACTTTTTTATTTTCAAACCTACATACCCCAAATTTTGCAGTTATATAGTGCCAAGGGTTCTTAGTAATAATATAATGTAACAAGTCCTTCAACTGGGATAATATTTGATCTAAAAGAGGAGTTCAATTGGTCCACCACCCTATTTGATGATAGATTTTAGTTTTAGTCGCCTTGCTGATATAGCAGTATCAATGAAATGTTAGCTATACTTTTTTCAATGTGTCTTAATTGCCAGCTTTTAAGTTGAGCAATTTTTTAGATTGGGTGCCTTCATACCATCTCCCGGAGACCTCCCCATACCCTACACTCACTGAGGTTTGCATTAGGGCTATTAGCTTGGCAGTCATCAGGGCATATCAGTTCAGGAACATTTTGCAAATTATGCTTATTTCTCATGGCACACCACATGTTTAAGTGAGACGCTGGTGACATATTTTATTCAAGTAAAAGTGTATAATTCATGATCCTTGGTTAGATAACAACCTCAAGTTTCATTTGGTATGCAAATTATGATTTTGTATCAAAAATTAAAAAAGTTAAAGCATTTTGAAAAAAAGTGGCGTTTATTTGGCCCACCCTGTATTTAGAAATATACAATTATAATACAATATACTACGCAAACAATACACATATTACTATAAAATACAATTCAAATTCCAGGTCTGATGACTCATCCTACAGAGCCCATCCTCATCTCTGCATCCCATGACGGGTCAGTGAGAATGTGGAGACTAGACACATTTGAACAGGTAACCATTTTTTAATTTAAATGATACTAGTATATTGCATGAAGCATTTTGTACCATATTTATGTCCCCGTCACCATCAGAAGTGATTTTTTGTGTTAAAAAAGTTTAGGTTTGGCGTCTTGCAACTTTCATAGACGGTGCCTTGTTAAATATAGGATGCAATTTACAGCCTTTAGGAAACTAGACTATAGCAATGGTGTTTATGTGTATACACCTGTACTCAAAAATTCTGTGTCCATAACCCAGCTTTTCAATATAATAAATTATGTACATCTATTACAAAGTTTTCAAAAAATGAATTCTGGCAGGATTGAATAGTGTATTCCAAAATGTTGTACAGTATGTTCACCATTCGATTCACATTTTGTGTATTTGAAAGTAAAACCTGACATAGTGAACATTAGTGAACAATATACACAGGGTTTTACTGTATATATTTACAGGAGCATTGTAGCTGTCAAAATAGACAATATGCAAATTGAAATAATCTTGATTTATTTTATTAAATATTCAAAATTCAGTAAAAGTGATATCATATTTATCTTTTTGAAAATGTGACTTCTACTTCGGGGAGATTCCCCATAGACCCCATGTTATAAAATCCCAAAAAGTGAAATGCAGGGGTTTCATTAGAAGCAGACAACAGGTGTTTTTCACTGGTTATGTTTATGTTTATGTATCTTTATTTCCACCTATGCAGATGAGTACATAATAATTATAAAGTTAATGTGGCAATATTAAAAATATAAAAATAAAAATATATATATTTACAACGCAAACTGTGTTGATTTAATAGTTTATAGAGCTATAGCTGCAGCTCTTGTTTTTAACATGTGTTTGACACTTAACATTATCTTCACATACATTCTGTAGTCTAATGCTTCATTTTTTCCTAGTAAGACCTCCATTTTTTCAACCATATTATATCCATCAAATATTCTGTCACTTAAAACTGCCAACAAGTCACTCCTACTTTCATGAAGTTCAAGGCAATCTAAGAGAAAATGCCTTGTCGTTTCATTTGTCATCCCACACAGGGGACAAATAGTGTCATAGTTGAGTGGGAAAGCACCTGTTAGCAGTTTTACCATATCCCTACACATCCCTATATATTTACAATTCGATTGACAGATTCTCAGGCCTGTCAACTGTCCCGCAATTGCGTATTTGTCACGCATTTGCTGAAGAATTTGAAGTCACGCCAGTTATTTTTGCGTGACAGAAAATGTCACGCAAATACGCATTTTACCTGGTAATTGTCAAGAAAGAAATTTTTTTAAAAAAGATCGTCTACACAGCAAAAATACGAACGCCGGAAAAAAACGTACGCATATCGTTCGGACTTTTCACGTGAATTACGTATATGTCACGCATTCCGTTCGAAATTTTTCGTACCTCCCCCCCCCCCCCAAAATTTGGATCAAGGTGTTCAGATTTGGACCAAGGTGTCCACATTTTGAGGGGAGGTGTTCAACATTTCCAAGTCACTCATGTTAGGTGTTCCCAGGTTGACAGGCCTGGATTCTCCACCATACGCATGGTTTTATCGTAACTTGTATCGTTCTATAAACGCTAAGTCTGTAAGATATGTTGCATAACAAGTGCCATCTGTCTTCTTCATACTGCATTATGCGTGCTTTAACAATTTAACAATCCGTTTCCACGCACATTTGGGCATCAGGTCATAATTCAAAAAATATTCATCAATATATCGCCATAAATTGTATCTTGTCACAAGGTTCAAAACTGCATTTATTACTGAATAGTTGCTATACAACTTTGAATGTTCAGAAATTGACTTCCATCTAAAGAACTCAATTATAAAAATCATTTTATACACACATGTGGTTGGTAGATTTAGGATACACCACAGAAACATTAACTTTTTTGTATCTATGACCGCACGAATCCTCGACCAGCCCAGTTGTGCCAAGGAAGCTTCGTTATGCACATTACATGGCAATTGTTGGATACGTTTTGCTATTTGTCTATGTGTCAATTCAAGGGTATCATAATCACATTGTTTCAATGGCAGGATATCCATACCGTATGTCATGGATGGTACCGATATGGACCAATATAAAATAGAGGCCGTCAGTGGATTGTATTCGAAGGAGTCACTGCTGAGAAGCCCCACCCCCGCGTTGATAGCCCTTCTAGCCTTTCCCATTGCATTATCAATATGTTGTTTCAAGTTACCATTTGTATTTAAAATGAGACCCACATGTGTACATTCTCTGACATGATCCATTTTATCTGGTCCAAGGTAAAAACACAAGTCTTTGCGGCCCTGTCTCTCTTTAGTGCAAACCATCAACGTTTTTGACTTCCCAGGGTGGAAGGTGAAACGCCATCGCGTACTGAAACGATATGCTATGTCCAGTAATGTTTGTAAGGACCTTGGGAACACAGCCATGAGGATCAGGTCATCGGCGTATGTGGGTGAGGTTACATTAATATTGCCGATTCTGCATCCAGCATTGCTTTGTTCGAGTTCCTTTAAGAGGCTATTTGTGAAACGCATATAGAGCATCAAACTACAGACACCCCCCTGATGGACTCCCTGGTTAACGAAGAAAGGATCAGACATAGTTTTTCCCACTCTAACCCTGCATTGATAATCCGAATACCAAATTTTCAAAATTCTCCATATTTTCCCCTTGAAACCTTGGTTAAAGAGTGTATACAACAACCCATCTATCCAGACAGAATCGTAACATTTTTTAATGTCCAATGATGCTATATATGTATCACTACCCCTGTCCGCATTATGCGCGACAGTCTCCCGCATGACCATCGATGTGTGGATACAAGAAGTACCATCTATTGCTGCCCCTTGCAGACAATGTATCGGTTCAATGTTATTATCGGCCTTAACTCGTGCTATGTATGTTCACAAAATCGCCTGTTGTTTTAGGGACTTTTCAACTCTTCCATGTTAAATTTATGATTTTCAGTAATTTTGCCTGTTTTCATTTATTTAGCCTGTTGTAAGAAATTCTAGTTAAACCCTTGGAAATTTACATGTAGGTGATATTTTCTCTTACTGGACATATTTTAATTAAGAAATATAGACCGAAGAGCAGGGGTAATGTTGTCGAATACACCCCGCAGGGCTAGGCACAAACGTTTTCTGTACCCCAAACGACCAAAGGGAGTGAGGGGTTTGAAAGCTTTTGTGCCTAGCCCTAAGGGGTGTATTCAACAATATTACACCTGCTCTGAGGTCTATATTATGATTCGAACTTGAAAACTCACCAAAATGTTTCGAATATTTATTATGGTCTACCATTACTACGGCCCGCCATTATGACGTCACACATTACACGTATTACCAGGGGTTTTGTTCGCGAATATACCCCGGGTGAAATGTTGACTTTGTTTACATTTTAGAGAAGGCGTGAATACAGTCATGTTCGAATTTGTATTAGTATCAGAAACATAGCGGTAATATGATAATTGATCCACTGAAACTGAGAAATATTCAAGTCTAAGAGAACTCTCTACTATATCTGCCATGATATCTGACCCAAATTAGCCACCTGGTGGTGAAACTGGTAACTGCCTACTAGCATCTTGGTTATTCATATTGTTTTATATATTGCAGTACCAGCGGCTTGATGTTGGAGAAAAGGTCTTGAGCATGCGACTTCTAAATTCTCATGAATTGTATTTTGCTACGAGGACACAGTTAAGACTCTGGAAGCTTAACATGGTAATTTACTAATAATATAGCCAGTGTCATATCTCATTTTTTCTGGTTTATGTTTCAATTTGCAGTTAGCTGTTTATATTCACTTTATCCCAATGAACCAATTTGGCTTAAACGAGTTCACCTAATCTTAGATCGCTATAATGTCCTGAAATGTGATCTTTGAAGTTGCCATGCTCTTAGTTCGAAATGTTTCAAATCTTTAGGTAGAATCAGATCTATAGATGTTGACAAAATTGAAATCAATATTTACAATTGACCTACCAATGTATTCCTAACAAGCTCAAACATAATATGTTTCAAAAGATCCACAATATGATATCAATTGGTGAAGTTCTTTGTTTCAAAGTGAAAAATAGGGGAAAAAAGTATGAATTCTCCCAAATAATAAAGTGGTAGCCATATGCATAGACAAATGAATGCATTATTGTAAAAATCCTTAGTTTAACTCAAATAGAGTTCAAACTTTGGATATTTTTAGAAAACACTAGTGGACATTGACAAGGAATGGAATGAGCCCAAAATATTCTAAAATTGATATTATTTTTGTCAAGATCATGATGAGGATGATCACATGATGAATACTTGCTACATCTGATTCTGCCTTTAATGACTAAATAATTGTATGACATTTTTAAAAAAGTACACTTTTGAAATATTTTTTCTTTTTCTCTCTTAATCACAATACTAAAGAAATCAAATTTTTGTTCATTTATAGCTGAACATTTATTTTCCATTGTTCTGTTGTATTTTTACTCTGTGTTCCCCATTGTTTTGTTTCAGTTTCATACGCTGTATTCTCCAATTCAAGCAAGTGTGCACAAGATGCAGAGGTATCAAGCAGAGGGTAGGAACTCACGTATCCTAGTTGCATCAGAGGTAAAATAGCTTAACTATTTGTTACACTTGTGTTTTACTTTTCAGTAGTGGACGATTTTTAAGCATGGTGGTCTTGACTTTGACTGAGCAAGGAAGCTCAATTAAAAGTTGAGCATACAGGATATGAGCACAATTCATTATGTTCTTAAATTATTTTCACACGTAGCAGAAGAATCAATTTTAATCACATAGAAAATCAACCAGAATTTGTTTGAAAGGTCTTTGTAAGGTTGACATCTTGACCTGCATAAGCACCTTCCTGGCTAATCATCATGCAACTATTTATAGTTTTTATCGTACCTAACAAAAGGTACAATATTGTAGTCAGCTTGACGGGTGGGCGGGCGGACGGTGGGCGGCGTCTCACTTTTCAGCTTGTCTACAGGTTTCCAGCCAAACCAAATTTGAGGGATTCATCTGAAATTTTCAGGGATGTTTCTACATATCAACGTCAAGAACTGATTAGTTTTTGGGCATTCTGGGTAAATCTTAAGGTGGCCATTTTGGATTTTCCGTCCTAAAATCTTCACTTTCAAGACTTGTCTACAGGTTTCCAGCCAAACCATTTGAGGGATTCATCTGAAATTTTCAGGGATGTTTCTACATATCAACGTCAAGAATTGATTAGTTTTTGGGCATTCTGGGTAAATCTTAAGGTGGCCATTTTGGATTTTCCATCCTAAAATCTTCACTTTCAAGACTTGTCTACAGGTTTCCAGCCAAACCATTTGAGGGATTCATCTGAAATTTTCAGGGATGTTTCTACATATCAACGTCAAGAACTGATCAGTTTTTGGGCATTCTGGGTAAATCTTAAGGTGGCCATTTTGGATTTTCCGTCCTAAAATCTTCACTTTCAAGACTTGTCTACAGGTTTCCAGCCAAACCATTTGAGGGATTCATCTGAAATTTTCAGGGATGTTTCTACATATCAACGTCAAGAACTGATTAGTTTTTGGGCATTCTGGGTAAATTTTAAGGTGGCCATTTTGGATTTTCGGTCCTAAAATCTTCACTTTCAAGACTTGTCTACAGGTTTTCAGTCAAACCATTTGAGGGATTCATCTGAAATTTTCAGGGATGTTTCTACATATCAACGTCAAGAACTCATTAGTTTTTGGGCATTCTGGGTAAATTTTAAGGTGGCCATTTTGGATTTTCCGTCCTAAAATCTTTACTTTCAAGACTTGTTCACCCAATTGCTAACTTGAACTTGAAATGATGAGAGAAATTGATGAGGGTAGATAATTTTATGTGATTGAATCTACTAATAACCACTCATCTATTGTAAAATATAGTTTGCATGTTCTATTGGCTGGAATGTAACATAAACACCTAGCTATCTGTGAATTCTATACCATGACTGAACAAGACAGTGTGTTCATCTTTGGTGTCTTATTGTTAAAACTAGGCCTTCCCTTTCTCTTCAAGGATGATTCTTGATTTTTAAAATGATATTCAAAATATCTCTAGAATGTAAATATTGGTCTTATTATGTTTCAAAATTTACAATATATGTAATATAATACAAAAATGTTTTCGATTTTGTTCTGTGTGCAAGAATAATTTGTTATTATATGGCGTTTGTCTCCTCTTACAATTGTTCGAAATCAATTCTTACTTGCCATGTTGGATACAGGATGATTGGACATTGCATGTCCTAATGTGTAGAATTATTGTCTGTCTCCTGAATGTAGAGCATAAACAATAATCATTTCTGACAATCCTATTCATTTAAACAAGAGATAATTGAGGAAGGTAATAGACACATAATATTGACTTGAGGTATATTAGAGATACTTATTATCACTTCTAAGGAAGATCATTAATCCTCATAGGAAAACAAAGAGTAAAAAGCAGCCATGCTGCATGAGCTCTTAGTGTTCAGCAATCTGAACCACAAGTGATTAACCAGCAGCTGACCGCTCTCTCATATAGTCTCTTTGTAATACAGTGAGGTAGAAATAGCATGGTTACAATTTATTTTGAAAAATATTACATATTATTTTTTTTAGAAAACCTATCTGATCAACTCTGTCTTTTGTTCTACCAGACCATACCATATCTGGCTTGTTTCACTATGCCTGTTAGTTAATCATTAAAGTAGTAAACATAAAATATTAATGAAACCTTGATAATGTAAGGATATAAGGTTTGGGCACCTTCCTTCCCAACTATGAGCATATATTGAGAAACATTGATAAATTATGCTCACAGTATGAGACATTTGTGCAGAACTTTGAGAATATTTTTTTTACTGAACTGAATTTAAAAGGGGCCATTTTCATTGGCCAGACCTGTATATTGTATCTTGTGGTTTGACTGCAATTTAACAATTCATATACTGTATAGTGGGCTTATTTGAGAAATGATGGCTGGTCATACTGTCTGATGCTTAATAGTTATTCTACTCAAATTACTTTCTAAATCTCATTAATATTCCTTCCTAAGCTGATTTGTATAATTTCAAAACCAAAACATACACAATTATAATGCAACTCGAGGATCATTGATGGCAGGAAATGAAGAGACACATCAACTTATCAAGAGTATATTCGACACTTTCTGTACTTGTACCATGATCACTTTGATATTTAAGGAATAAGGTCTTTGTTACGATTCTAATCTGATAAATAGACAAGAAACACAACTATTTGCATGTATGAAAAGCGGTCATACATACTCCAATATAGACCAGTTTATCAATTGTTCTAGCCATTGTGACGTCACGTATCATATTAGAATAGGTGTATAAAGCATGTCAATAAAAATTATGTTCAGTTCTTTAATGCTACCCCATATCCCATGTACATCCCAGATACTTGTTTCCTCTGGGATTTTATAAACTTTAGATATTTTTTATCTGGCGTAATTTCACCCAGTTTAGTGTCTATATTGTGTCAGACGATATTTTAAGTTTATGTTAGATAGATTATGTTAGATATCTCACCTTGATCGCCGGAGAAAATATCTTTCATCCATCTGGATAAACCCAATATACAATCCCTCCCTAGGTATTAGCTACATATGTTTCAGGATGGAGGAGTGTGTGTGCTATGTCCATCTACTGGATGTACTCTAACTATTGTATACCCATGCCTGACTTCCCAATGTTCCATGATATTCTATATACTTGTACATTTCAGGATGGAGGAGTGCGTGTGTTATGTCCATCTACTGGGTGTACTCTTACTATTGTATACCCCATGCCTGACTTCCCAATGTTCCATGATATACTATATACTTGTACATTTCAGGATGGAGGAGTGCGTGTGTTATGTCCATCTACTAGGTGTACTCTTACTATTGTATACCCCATGCCTGACTTTCCAATGTTCCATGATATACTATATACTTGTACATTTCAGGATGGAGGAGTGCATGTGCTTTGTCCATCTACTGGGTGTACTCTTACTATTGTATACCCCATGTGTGACTATGATATACTATATACTTGTACATTTCAGGATGGAGGAGTGCGTGTGTTATGTCCATCTACTGGATGTACTCTTACTATTGTATACCCATGCCTGACTTCCCAATGTTCCATGATATTCTATATACTTGTACATTTCAGGATGGAGGAGTGCGTGTGCTATGTCCATCTACTGGGTGTACTCTTACAATTGTATACCCCATGCCTGACTTCCCAATGGTCTATGATATACTATATACTTGTACATTTCAGGATGGAGGAGTGCATGTGCTATGTCCATCTACTGGGTGTACTCTTACAATTGTATACCCCATGCCTGACTTCCCAATGGTCCATGATATACTATATACTTGTACATTTCAGGATGGAGGAGTGCATGTGTTATGTCCATCTACTGGGTGTACTCTTACTATTGTATACCCCATGCCTGACTTCCCAATGTTCCATGATATACTATATACTTGTACATTTCAGGATGGAGGAGTGCATCTGTTATGTCCATCTACTGGGTGTACTCTTACTATTGTATACCCCATGCCTGACTTCCCAATGGTCCATGATATACTATATACTTGTACATTTCAGGATGGAGGAGTGCGTGTGCTATGTCCATCTACTGGGTTTACTCTTACTATTGTATACCCCATGTCTGACTTCCCAATGTTCCATGATATACTATATACTTGTACATTTCAGGATGGAGGAGTGCATGTGTTATGTCCATCTACTGGGTGTACTCTTACTATTGTATACCCCATGCCTGACTTCCCAATGTTCCATGATATACAATATACTTGTACATTTCAGGATGGAGGAGTGCGTGTATTATGTCCATCTACTGGGTGTACTCTTACTATTGTATACCCCATGCCTGACTTCCCAATGTTCCATGATATACAATATACTTGTACATTTCAGGATGGAGGAGTGCGTGTGTTATGTCCATCTACTGGGTGTACTCTTACTATTGTATACCCCATGCCTGACTTCCCAATGGTCCATGATATACTATATACTTGTACATTTCAGGATGGAGGAGTGCGTGTGTTATGTCCATCTACTGGGTGTACTCTTACTATTGTATACCCCATGCCTGACTTCCCAATGTTCCATGATATACTATATACTTGTACATTTCAGGATGGAGGAGTGCGTGTGTTATGTCCATCTACTGAGTGTACTCTTACTATTGTATACCCCATGCCTGACTTCCCAATGTTCCATGATATACAATATACTTGTACATTTCAGGATGGAGGAGTGCGTGTGTTATGTCCATCTACTGGGTGTACTCTTACTATTGTATACCCCATGCCTGACTTCCCAATGTTCCATGATATACTATATACTTGTACATTTCAGGATGGAGGAGTGCTTTTGCTGTGTCCATCTACTGGGTGTACTCTTACTATTGTATACCCCATGCCTGACTTCTCAATGGTCCATGATATACTATACACTTGTACATTTCAGGATGGAGGGGTGCGTGTGTTATGTCCATCTACTGGGTGTACTCTTACTATTGTATACCCCATGCCTGACTTCTCAATGGTCCATGATATACTATACACTTGTACATTTCAGGATGGAGGGGTGCGTGTGTTATGTCCATCTACTGGGTGTACTATTACTATTGTATACCCTATGCCTGACTTCCCAATGTTCCATGATGTACTATATACTTGTACATTTCAGGATGGAGGAGTGCGTGTATTATGTCCATCCACTGGGTGTACTCTTACTATTGTATACCCCATGCCTGACTTCTCAATGTTCCATGATATATTGATGGACCTCAAGACAGACAGACTCTACGCTCTCTTGCCATCTGGTCAAGGTAAGTCCATAATCTTAGTCACAAAGCCTTAATATTTCCAATTAACCCTCTCACCTTATTGCAGGAATGAATTTGAACTAAGGGTGTATTTGCCACATTTCTGATGTCATAGGTTGTAGGTTGCCATTTTTACAAACAAAACTCATAGAAGTTTCTAAAAACTAGCATATTGATAATCATATTTTTGATTGAAAACATTTCTACTTACCTATGGCATCATGAGTCTAGTTTTTTCTCTGTTTTTGAAGGGTTTATTTGGAGGTTATAGTAGACATGTTCCCATGTAACATAACTACAATTTCAAAACACAAAAGTAAAAAAAAAATTTATCCCAAAAAGATCCATGTAGATGGACGTTATTGTAATATTAATGTTGTTCCAAAGGTGTTTGCCGTACATTATTAAGGATTTACAGTATGGTGTCCAGACTTTCTAACAAGAGCAGTCTTTACTAAAAAGAACTGTGTTGCTATATCCATTTCATAGATAATTTTGAAGGTGTCATACCAACATGGTATGGGTGCTTTCTCTGGGCTGTAACTCAAGCTCTATTGATCTATTCATATCTGGACTCTCCTTTTTATGCTTCCCAAAGATCCACCACAAAATCTCATGTTTTATTATAAGTCGAAATCGTTTGACAATTATAACATATATAATCGGATTTATTAATGTTGCTGTTTTTGCGAACACTGTTGGGAAAGCTTTTATGACAGCTGGTTTGACTGGTTCACTGTGAAAAGTTTCCCAGAAGCATACGATGGCGTAAGGACTCCAGGTGATAAAGAAGCCAGTCGTGATGGCAATACCAATCTGAAAAAAATTATGTATACAATGTAACTTAAGGGCCTACCCCTATAGGTGCCATCTGTCTTTATGATTAGCTCTCTTAGGTCCCCTGTTTATGAAGCTATCTTTGAAGAAGTCAAATAAATGCAAAAGGCAACTTTTCATCAGCAATCATACTTATAAGTGATAATTATATGGCCCTTAATGAGGTTTCTATTAAAAGAAGCTATTGAAATTATGTTTGTCTTATAATGATCATACTGGGTTTCAGTGAATTAGATCTTTGCTTTGAGAGGTTCTTTATTATCAATTTGTATTGTTTTGCTACTCATTCATTAGAGTTATCCATAATAGAGATATCAAAGTGAAGGTAAAGCAACTGAAACCTTGTGTATCAAGATGAATTATAACTGAAGGCCTAACCAATATCATCAACAAAAGATCTATTAGCCCCTCAGACACCAATTGATTTCTTCACAAAGAATCATCTTCGGTAATTTCCTGATAAACTAGGAAATTCGACATAGCTATTCATCAATTATACCTGGAAGGTGTTTGGAAGAAACTCTGAAAGTCAAACAAATGCAAAGGAAGAGAACACCCAGGGCATTTAATACTAAGCATTTAAGAATCTCTGTGTCACCCTCCCTCCTTTCTAAGTCAAACACAAAAGTATATTAACAATTAGTCAGGCTGATTTGTAGTAATTTATATGACTACTAGCATTTGTTTCTGTTACCTACATGTACGACAATTGTTACATCCATTAGGTGGTGACATATACTGTACACCCGGTATTATTCGCGTGCGATTAACTTTCGCGCTTTTCGCGATGGTGTTAAAATCGCGAAAAATTATCGTCGCGAAATTGCCAATTAAATACCCGGGAATTTGTTTTTACCCGGGGCTCTGATGCATTTCGTCAACTTCTGATCCCTCCATTCCTACATCTGTAAGAAGAACTACAACATGCATTTCGTTCTGTGTAAAACGTTTCGTCTAGTGTTATTGGGCGATAATTGGATGATTTCCACCAACATGTAATACAAAATATGAATTCAATTCATTTTAAAATAAGACCGAAATTAACGATGCGATAATAGAAGTTGATATGCAGCTTGCCGATGATAAAGATCCCAGTTATTGTAAATCTGATCCAACTATGACATCAGGTAAGTGCAATTACTGTACATCTACTAGTAATTTAGCTTGAGAATTCGCGAAATTTAATAGCCGCGAAACCGTGTTTTCGCAAAATTTGTGAAATAAAAGCTCGCGAATAATACCGGGCGTACAGTATAGGCATGTTTTTACCTTTGTGATTCGTTGTTCTGCAGTCTGTGATGTTTTACTGAGACATGTGTGTCCACGAAGTGCTTGGGCAACTCTACAGTAGGTAAACAGAATCAATACCATTGGAATGACAAAGTTGAACAGAAATATTGAAATTATATAAGATAGCACATTTGCACTTTTGTCCCAGAATTTTACAGTACAGCTTGTTTTTGTTGGTTCAATGTCGAACTGTCCCCAGCCGATGAAAGGGGTAATGCTCCAGAACAGTGCAGCTACATTGACTGCTACTAGTCCTTTTAATACTGTTGTTTTTGTGTTGATCCAAATAGCTAGAAAAATAAAAATATAATTTCAAATTAAATTTCTGAATGCTTGATCTATGATCTATGTGGTGGGTTTATTTCACTTGGTATGGCCTGAAATATGCTAAGCATGGCTCAGAATTTCAGAAACTGATCAATTAAAAAATAAACATGCATAAGTTGGTTGTTAAGAATTGAATTTAATCAAACCACAGAAATACTTTGCCCCACCCTCTGCAAGCATACAAGTTGCATTTAAAAATTATACTATATAAACGATCTCAGGAGATGCTTGGAAATGTCAAAGAATGTCACTGATGGATTGAGCACATTGTTTTTTGATGCATAGTATAAAATAAAGCCAAATAAATTGCCTAACAATAACAACTCTGTCTGGAGCAATATCAATTTCAACTGGGTGTTCATGCTAATTACTCAGATGCGAGTAGGTACGGTAGTTACCAGTTTCACTACCAGGTGGCTGAGTCGGGGGAAATAACATGGCAGGGTATTACAAAATTCCCTTAGACTTAAATATTCATCAGTTTTAGTGGTTCACTTTTCATATTACCCTTTTTTATTCCATAGTTAGCATGATATTCATAGGATAACATGTGAAAATAAAAACGGTATTTTTGTAATCAGTAGTAAAATATGATATTTTTGACAAATTTTCACTTAACCATAGCATACGGTTTTTTAGCCATGACATACGGCGCCGTATGCGATGGTTTATGGATTTTTGCTACTTCAGACTCAAAACTAGGCTAAGTGTCAACATCGCCGGATCTGATAGTTATACAAATTAAAATACAAGAAAAGATATTTCACTTTTTGTGATTTTACAACATGGGCTCTATGGGGAATCTCCCCGACCTAGAAGTCACATTTTCAAAGAAAATTAAATTTTCAAAGTTGATAAACTCTTTTCAAAACCACATTTCTAGATGTAATTCTACATGTGTAGATTCCAAATTCTACATGTGTAGATTCCAAATATGACATCAGTTTGACTGAATTCTAAATCAAGATTATTTCTACTCGCATCTAGTCTATTGCATTGCAGGCAGGTGCAAAAGGTAACTCTAGAATAGTTATTGACATTCTACTGTCTCTAATTAACCTTATGGTTAGGCCACTGGACTTTCCATTTCCTTATTGCAATCATGGCCACTATGATTTGGCATGCGCTGAGGCTTTTAAAGCTTTGCAATCACGTTCACAACTCATATTGTCCTCCCAATGCTTCAATTTCATAGAAATATTATTACATCATTTTCAGAAATTTGAATTTCAATAATGTAGCATCTATTGTATGTCTCTGGTGGATTATAAAGATGTTGATCTGGTTCAATCATTGAGGCATGAATAATATCAGTTTAAACTTTTTGCTTTGAATATTATCCTATAAAAACAATATATTGTCATTTAGACCCCTTTTTTCTCTTAACCTTTCTTATTCAGAAACCCCAAAGATCTATTTATCAGATTTCAGAATTGAGCCATTGCATCTCCATCAAAAATGTTTCATTATAGCAAATAAAAAAATATTGACATATTTTGCCCCACCCTATATTAGAACAGTATGTAGTTTCATATTCAAGATTTGCAGCCTTCAATCTCAGAATGTTGTTGATTTCAGCTATTGTTGATTTGTTGGATTGGAAACATGTTTAACAACTATTCTTTCAAGCATTTAAATGTGCGTTGACATTTTACGAGAAATGTTGAGTAAGAAAATAACCTTGAGACAAGCGCAAGACAGAGACATGAAATGTTTTTCTGTCTTAATGAGTAGGAGTCTTGGCTTAAGGTGTGTAAGTTAACCGTAATCCAACACCAAATTCGAAAATTCAGAACAATACTTTGCATGCACATATGGCGTTCGTGATCAACTATAAAACGCTTATCCCCCTAGTGTTATATATCAAAATGTACCTGTTCATATAGGAGTTCGATTAATCTACATCAAATTATAGGGAGTCAGGTTACTTTTTGAGATATCAGCGTCCATTTATTGTAACTTGCGTTTGCTACCATTTCCTCAATTCTGAGATGACAGGCAAACGCGTAGTAAACATGCTCACGTCGGAACTATTTTGACCTACATCGCTATTTTCGTAATTCAAATGAAAGTTGAACTCCTCTTTATTTTGATACCAAGTAGTGGCAAACTAGGTACCCCAGAAGCTAACTATGGCGTTATTTAGAACAAAACCACAAGTTTTTAAATGGACTATATAGGGTCATACCTTTTGGCAAATGGATATGGAACCTCACACCTTAACTTTGAAATATAAATATTATATACCCAAATATATAAGCTTATGAATGGTATATACTCAAAGGATTGGTATCGATATGGTGAACTAAATTCAACAATGTTTTTCTCTTAAACCGCAAATATTGGAAACATTCTGTAAAAAACATGGTCCTTTATGTAATTTTGACTGATTGGCAACAATTTAATGCAGTTGGAATAGATGTTTCATTTCATCCATATATGATATCAGGAACAAAAGAAGTGTCTGATGTGTTTTCTAAATCAATATAGAGAAAAGTATATATAATTATTTCAAATTATATTGTTACCATTCAAAAGATGACCATTAAATTGACAATGTATAACATTTTCAGAATCTTTTGATGACTGGTTTAAGGGAAACATGTGTTCAAAAGGTTCACCATATCGATACCCACTTTTGATTAGTTTATAAACTTAAACCTGCAATTCTCACCTTGAGCCCTATGTCTCATTACTATATACCGAAGTACTGCTATTAGGGTCAGTATATTAATGCTGGCATAACCAAGGAACGAACCCATCATCCCATATAGTTGGCATCCTGGAGAAATAAATGTTCTGAGTATATTTACAAGTAAGTATGTAATATAACAGCAGAGAAAGCCCCCAAGATGAAAATAAAATTATCTTAAAGGTGGAATGCCGAGAATATTAATACAATTGAACATGTTGAACAACTAATTTATATACTTTTTGTGACTGTTTGAATGGCTATGAATCCCAAGTTCCGATGTGTCTCATCAAGAAGACGATATAATGACAAGGATTATATGTCAAGCGGATTTCATAATTTTTGTGCAAATTTTCTTCTTAGATCGAAAAATGTCATTTAATTCGATAAACTTACGATAGGTGGTGAAGTGTCTCAAGGTAGGTCATGTGACACAAAACAATGATTCATTCACCAGATGGCGGAGTTAAAAGGAGGTCAATTTTACGACAAACGAAAACCGTTTAGCTCAGCTTGAATTTTGCTCTCGCAGTCAATCAAAACTGAAACTTCTTTCGTCAATATCGAGGTGAGTGATTTTTTCAGGCTCCGGTATTTTGACAAAGTAAGTTCAGGTCATAGCCATTCTTCAGGGCAGGTTTGAGGCACCAACAATTTATTTTTGGAGTTTTTCTAGCGAATTAACCCGAGTTTATGGCATTCCACATTTAAAATATGGTTGTAAGTTTACATGAAGAAGTTGTGGCTTAGTTATGTACTTGAATGAAAATTACTCTGAAAAATGAAAAAACTAATATTATAATTTACATGACTTATAGCCGAGCAGCTATCATCAAAGATGGAGACTATTTTTTGACAATAAATTGCCAATTTTGCTAAAAATGTCAATTTGAATATTGAAATGATAATTTGACCAAATTTTGTAGATCATTTTTGAATAAAAGGCCAATAGAAGGGCAATTTTAAATATTGAAATGCTAATTTGACCAATTTCTAAAGACCATAATTGAATATAAGGGCAATCATTTTTTTTTTGATAGAGAAAAATGCTTACACTTTGAGATATTGAAAACATTTTACAGCTCACTTAATGAGTCTTAAATGAGTTGATGTTTAGAATTCCATGAATTAAATATTATATGAGATAGTGCCTTTTGGTGTTTTTGATGTCTACTGGAATGAAACAAATCATGTATGATTATATAGATTATCTAGTTTTGAATATTTTTATATTAAATCTTGATCTGCAGAATTGAACAAAGATTGTCTTTTATTAGGGTTGGGGTCATTTCAAATTCTGTCATCTCAATCACATGTTTGTTACAGATCAATATAAAAGACAATAAAAGTCAATTCAACTTAAGTCAACTCAACCTTAGGTAAACACACAACTTTGTAACCTCAACCTCTTTCTCTCTCAATCAATTCAATCTCAAGCCAGCCCACAGTGAATTTCATTTGACGAGATGATTTGGCCAAGTTAAAGGGGCAATAAGGCTTCCCAGCCTATCGTCAGGCGCAATATTGGTCAATATTTGAGGTCTACTTTTGGTCTACTCATAAGGCGTACTTCTGGTCTCCTTTTGGTTTTTCTCTGTGTTAAATCCCCATAGTCAGGCGCGTTTCAAATATTTAAATTAAGCCAAAAGTAGACCAGAAGTAGACCTCATTTGATGACCTCATCAGGTTTATCAGGTCTATATTTGAGGTCTAGACCTCATTTAAGCCTCAACTATCTGTAAATCAGGTCTATATTTGAGGTATACTTTTGGTCTACGCCTTATTTGAGGTTCACTATTGGTTTTCAGGTCTACTTCTCTTCTGCTTTTGGTGTACACCTTACGTTAAGGCACATTTCAATTATGGAAATTAAGCCTTAAGGTCTAATTTTGGTCTAGACCTCATTTCAGGTACAAGCCTCATATACCTGTAATTAAGGTCAGGTCATGTTTTGTTGTTTCAAAGTAGAAAAGTACTTAGTACATATCAGTACCCTCCATAGTTGTTAAATAAATTGCATTTATTTTGAATTGCTGTGTTGTTTTCTAGGATAAACTTGTCTCATGGATAAGATAGAGATCTATGAACACATTAGAAAGATGAAGCAAAAATTACACAGTATTCTTATATAAATTATATGTAGCCTTATGATGTATTTTTGTTTCATCATTTAAATTTAACAATATTTCAATATTTTATTATTTTCAGACATCCTTCTTTAGGTTTCCCAGATTTTGATTATTTTTTTAAGTTCTGATAAAAACCATTAATAGTGAGTTGAAAATACAGTTTACTGGTCTGTTAACCTAATATATTATAATCTCTATTATAGTCTCCTTCGTGATTCTGAGAAAATACTACAGTAAGTGTGGCTTTTTCAGATTTATGTTTTCTAAGTTTTAAAAAAAATTCTATGTTTATCAGGTCTAGATTTGGTCATTTTATAAATGTTTAAGTTTTTAAGGCGCAGTTTTGGTCTATACGCCTGTCAGTGAGGTCTATTCTAAAATGTTGTTAGTTTATCAGGTCTAGATTTGGTCATTTTGAAAATTGTTTAAGTTTTTCAGGCGCACTTTTGGTCTATACGCCTTACAGTGAGGTCTATTCTAAAATCTTCTAAGTAAATGTGGTTTAGATTTGGTTTTTAAGGTGCAGTTTTGGTCTATACGCCTGAAAATAAGGTCTATACCTGGAATTAAACTGGAATTATTGTGAGTAAATGAGGTTAGGTTTTGGTCTAAGCCTTAAAAATACCTGTAAAAGAGGCATACTTTTAGTCTAGACCTGGAAGTAAGGCGCATTTGAGGTTAATTTTTGGTCTACGCCTCAAAAACCTGATGATAGGCTGGGTTGTAGAGAGAAAATAGGAAAAATTTAACTCTTTCTGAGCTATCAAGGCAACAGTTGGCTTAACATCTTCTTCGACATACCTATTTTCTTAAAATGTATGGATAAACTATCAATTTCGGCATTAAAAAGTGTAAATTCAGTTCAAAGCTTCAAAAAGGGGACGTCCACTTTTATATTTTTAAGATCCACCATGTTTCAAGAGTAATATAAGCTGAAATAATGATTATCTAGGGGGTTTCTTTGGAGAAAATAAAAATAGATGTAAGTCTAGATAAAATATCCAAACTTAAATATATTTTGACACTGGTCCATGATCGTTGAATGGCCCCTCTGCACTACTTGTTGCACCTTTAAAGTAGGGTTGAATTGACAAGGAATGTATGTAACTACTAACCTATCATTCCAAATTTCCATCCATGAGTTAAGAAAGAATAAAAAACAAAGGGGCATCCAATTAAGGACATTCCAAGATCGATAACTGCCAAGTTCATAATGCATATATCTATGGGTCTCAAGACAGTGTTGGCTTTATATCCGGCAATCAGAACTATAGTATTCAGTATCGAGCCGCAGCAAGCTGCAAACATAAAATCATCGCTTGACATTATGCATTGCTATTATTTAACACAAATTCATAATAACATTTTGTACCTTTTACTTACTGCATGTATATGATGTAGGTTAAAGGCTGACATCTGTTTGACACATATAATAATTATATATGCTACAAAATATAGAAACTACTACAGCGCTTACACAAAGCAAGCAAGCAAAAAATAAAATAAATTATGAAAGAACACTTATCACAATATTAAAGACAATTGAACAAATATATAACAGGGATTGTGTAACACTTAACTTAATGACCTGCACCTGGAGAGTAATAATATTTCATGATTACATGAGCAGCAGCATTTTCTCAATATTTTCACCTTGATGTAGGAAGATTAAAGGATATGAAAAATTATATTTCCTTTGAGCAGTGATATGATTGTGTAGGTTCAGATTATAATTGAAAATGCTGTGATATGATAGAAAATTTAGAATTAACTTGAGTTTCCTCAGAACTTTGCAGTGAATAATCATTACTGATTACGTATATAAATTCAACATGACCATTTAAAAATGTTAGCTGGAGAATAATTTGAATATCCTTTATGTCAAAAGCAACTCAACAAATGTTCAAGATACATTCATATATTTACTTCTGAACTTCACATGCACAACTTACAATTTACAACTCTTTTTAATGCTAAAGGAGAGAGTAATTCAAGTGACTGGATTATTGGTATGCTCAATGCACTTTATAAGCAAGGCACTCTGGTAGTCAAGAGGTTAATGTACCTGCTTGTATAGGCAAATTAATTTGATGCAATTACCCAAAACTGTCTTGTTTTTAGCGCAGAAGAACAAAATCTGTCAGATCCACTTAAGGGTGCTCATAAGAAAAATAGAAGTACAACTGATAGTATTTTTATTTTAGAAACATTAATCAACAAGTTTAAGCAGCATAAAAACCACTGAATATATGTATGATAGATTTTAGGACAGTGGAGACGATAACCATATTTAATGTGTAGTAAGGCAATTGCCATGTTGCACGACAATTGCCGTGAAATTATGAAGCATCAGTGTGCATGTCAATAGATAATAACAACAATTGCCGTCATGTCCGTCAAGTGATGTGCAATATTTTGCGCGGCAATTGACGAGCAATTGTATCTTGTAAAAGTTTCACATATTATCGGCAGGGCAACAGGCAGTTATAAACTGGGGAACTAGTGGGTAAATCATGATTTGCATCGTATGCAATAGTTATAAACATTTGCTATTGTCCGGGTTGCATTTTGAACTAACAACTATTATGATGTGCTTACGTAAAAACAAATCATGTCATGATTCGTAATTCCAATATGGCATTTTTCTAGGATTCTTGAGAGGTAACTTTGATTAGTTCTAGCGCACAATTCCCACATACAAGTGCTAGATTAGATAAAATACTTGAAGAAAATGCAATAAAATGAGTTCCATCAATCGATTTAGACTTTCCAAGAATGCAAGTTCAGTGGTGACTTCATTGGTTTGTCACATTGACAGAAAATTCAACGGCGATTGAACGGCATTTTCCCCACAATTTTGGAGTGAAATACTTCCCTGGGATTTAATATACCATTAATGTTTACCAAATGTATACATACTATAAGAGAAATATTACTTAGATTGTATATATATTAAACACTGGGTCTTCTAACTAATATGGTGTTTCAAATTATAAATTACAATGGACATTATGCTTATTGACGTGATTCACATCAATTGACGTGCAAAAGGGCAATCTCTGTGTTATATGTCAAATGGGGTTATCGTCTCCACTGTAGGAAGACTTTTGATTACATAGATCATTCCATCTTCACCCCGGGTGATCAATATCCTGTGTTCCGAATTTCGTTCCAGCAAGTCAGTGACCCGAGGTTGAGTTTTTACTGAATCCCGATAAATATGGCGTCTTGTTCGCCACTGGACGACCCAGGTGACAAAAATGTGTCAAACAAATCAGTTAGCATAAGGTAAGAATGAATATAGAGTAATGCATTCGGTGCTGGAATATGTTTTCAACATGTTCCTAAATGATTATCCATATGTGTAGGCTATTAATGCAAATCGAAGCATGAAACCAACATGACCCAATTCGAAAAGCTCACAGAAAACTATATCAGCGAGTCGTTCTTTGCCTTCTGTAAGTAATGATGGATACTCTGAGCATTGTATAACTGTAAAGTATACCTTATTAGTATGTCTCAACTTGTGCTATGTTTGAATTCAAGCTATTATCTTTCATAATCGTCATAGAAGTCATTGAAAGATATATTCCATTCTACCGAATAGGAATCGTCATTGTCCCGAAGCTACAGAATAAGATTATATATATTTTGTATACTTTTGAGAATCCATTCATGAATACATCAAGCTAATTTGGTGCTACATTTCTTGTTATTATTTTACAAATTCAAGATCGAATTTCCCTGCCTGTATATTGATTTCCACATTGGCATTGAACTGCAAATACAGGGTGTCCCAAAAAGTGTACCCACTTTAGAGAAGGAATATAACTATTCAAAAAAAATTGAACTTTTCACATGATTAGGATGCTCTCAATTAGATTTTTAAAAATAAAAAATGTGTGCAAATCAAAACATTGCATTGCTGTCTGGTACAACCACGATGACCATTTACAGGCCCGTATCCAGGATTCACCATTTGAGAGCGGTTTTACCAAGGCTAGAGTTTTTGCCAAGGGGGGGGGGGGCTTTTTGACAGTTTTGATAGCACGATCGTATGTATAGTATCAGTATCTCAATGATAATACCTTCATTTGAGGTTTATTTGAGCCTAGCCTTCTATTATAAGTATGACCTGGCTGGCATCTGTTGTTTTGGCAAAAAATCATGTGAAAAGTGTTCAGAATGGTGAAAAACTGCAAGTTTTTGAGAGAATTTCTGACCAGGGCCCCCCCCTCCTATCTGCGGGCCTGATTTAATAAATTATGCATGGAACCTGCCATTACCTTAGCAATGCTATCGTGAAAGCCTGGTGTGACCGTCGCCTTTATGTGACATTTATGGCTTACTAAGTGAAGACTTTTTAGCCTGTTGTCAATATTATTATATTTTTATGGGTATATTGTAATGCTTACTCTAACAGTGACAACGTTGAAATATATTGCAATACCTGGCATATACCTGCTATATGATATGCTATATTTTTTGTCAATCCCTGGTTTTTGAGACAATGTTAAAATATATCATAAAAATGCCTGCTACAGTACGTGCAATGTGGATTGTGAAATGACTATTCTTTGAAGGTGTTGCAACATAGTCTCATAATTTACACATGTTGTATTGTACTCTCATCCTCTAATGTGTGTGGCCTCTTGACAATTTTCACATATTTTAACATGGGAAATTCTCAATTAGTCAAATCCACTCTCATTTATTAATTACTCAGACTAGAAAAAAATCAGTCAAGTTGGCAAAGTATCAATTTCAGTATTTTTATCTTGGCAACCACAGAAGGAATGACCTTGGATGATGTGATTGATTTTACCATGCACTGGTCTGTAGTTATGTGCAATACTGTGTTCAGATTGTCTCCATTCGGATACACCTTACTGATCCACTGAATTCTCTATCACTCATACAAATGCAAATACAGTTAATATTCCGACATTGATCTTTTGATATGCTCCCTTAGGTTCAGAACAAAACAATATTTTTGGTGGTGACAACTGACAACACTGAGACTCATACTAGTAGAATACTCATTGTTTACTGTAGTGACACCGACCTTGACACCACATGCGTAATCTGGCAGATCTTTAGGCAGTCTAGATCTAATTTTCAATATTATCAAATGCATTCAATTCTTATTTTTGATAAATTAAGATATCACACGTGAGTATACACTGCTTCTGTTCATTATGATTCAATAGTCTATAAGCATTTATCCATGAAGTGCGTCGATACACTGGCTATTCATATTCGGTACTATGGAATATATCTTATTATGCCTTCTAGGACGCTTATGCAAAGAAATGGTTTACATTCACTGGAAGCACGAGTTGGTACATACTTTGAACGTCTACCCAGCAATTATACCATGATAACAAAAAACTACTCGGTGACATACTTACCAGCGAGCGTTGAGAATGAGGTCACGTTTACTTATGCTTCGATTAGCAGTAATACCCAACGCATATGGATAAACAACTAAGAAAATGTTGCAAACATATTTAGGCACCGAATGCGCCACTCTATATTCAGTCTTACCTTATGCTGTCAGAAAGTTTTGAATAATTGTCGACATCAACATCGTCTGTTGTCAAATTAGCCGTCAAATTATATTTGTCGGGATTCAGTAAAACACAACTCGGGTCACTGACTTGCTGGAACGAAATTCGGAACACAGGATATTGATCACCCGGGGTGATCTTATTATATAATCTGTGTAAATCAGGAATTAAACAGAATATAATATGTACAAGACAATTTAGAGTTTGAACTCAAAATCAATGTCATGTCTTACGTTGCAAAATGGTATTAGCATAACTTTTGACACTGAATGCATGTATGATAGATTTTAGAAAGGCTTTTGATTACATAGATCATTCCATAAGGACATCTTAATGTATAATCTATGTAAATCAAGAATTAACCAGAAAGGGATCTTTCACGGAAGCATTCTAATGTATTTTTATTCAACCACTTTATACCTATATAACCTTTATGATGCCAGACTACCCTTTGCATTCGTTTGACTTCACTTCTTAAAAGAGAGCTTCGTCTTCACTCTTTCAAACTAAAATAAACCTGTGAACGCACCGCGCCAATCAGTGTTCGTCGGCCAAATTTGACCGACGTTCTTTATATGGTTATTCCTTCTGACGTCATCGTTGAGCCCGGAATTGACCAATGACATGCGCATATTTAATTAGAACGCATTTGGCGCATGTTTCTTCAAGCTCGCTGATTGGTGGAAGGTCGGCGCGTAGGTCAAAAGTGAT